ATAAGCACAAAGAATGAAAGAATTCCTAATGGAAATGAGCTGACAAGAAGGACAACAAGCTGATGGGAGAGATGAGAATAGATTATTAATAATAATAATGATAATAGCTAATATTTATATAGTGCTTGCTACGTGCCACTACACTAACGCTTTACAAATATTGTTTCATTTGACCCTCACAGCAACCCTGCCAGGCAGGTGCTATTATAATCTCATTTTACAGATGAGGAAACAGGCAAGCAGAGGTTAAGTGACTTGCCCAGGGTCATACAGTTAGTAAGTGTCTGAACAACAAAAATATAGCATAAACATAAAGTGAATAAAGCAGCAAGGCCACTGGAATAAGATTACTCAGACATTCACACTGCATTGCAAATCAGTTCAAGGTGCTGACTTTCCCCCAGGTTATACACAAAACCCTTCTGAAATGAACAGAGCCTCCATCCTTCCCTGAGGCCATTTGGAAGAAGGCAGAGGGTGCTTATGATTCACCAGGAGAGAGAAAGGGACTGGACCGGCCATGCCCCTGGCAGAGTTCACAGTCCTCCCCTTGGTACTTAGCCATGTTGACTGCTCCCCAAACCTGACAACCATCTCCTCCATCCATGCAGGCCCTGGTCCTTCCTCCATTCCTGGAATGAATTCCCCTCTCCTTCTCCTAGCCTTTTAGAATCCTTACCTTCCTTCGAAGCTAGCTCAGATGCTGCCTCCTCTGGGAAGCCTTCCCTGATCCTCCCATTCACTGAATTTCCTTTTCTGGAGATCTTTAATCTGTCCTTTACCCCTGTAGCATGCTTCTCTATCAAACTCTGGGGCTGAAGTTAGGTTGTGAAGTCAGGCAGTCAGGACACTTACTATGTGAATAAGTCAACTCATGTCTCAGTTTCCCCTTTTGTAAAAAGAAGACAATAACACACTGCTTCCCTTGCAGGGTCATTCCAAGGAAAGCAGCATGTAAGTTTCAAAGCTCTATCAAAATCCAAGTTATTATTTTTGTTATTACTGTATCCCCCAGGAGAACACATGCTGCCCCAGCTCTAAGGACTCTATGCTCTACACCGAACGGAGCAGCGAGCGGCTCAAACTTAAATATGGACAACATACCCTGCATGAGAAGTGCATTAGAGAATTCAAAACAAGGTGTGATAAGAGGTCACAGCCAATCTGGGCAACAAAGTCCAACATTCAGGAGTGAGGCATGTAACTGTCTGTGAGAAAGATAAGCAGGACCAGTATTTATACTCTGTTGAATTCCTTAGAAAAGTTAGCAGACAGTTGGATAACACAAAGTGTTCAAATAATGAATGTCTCAATCCAAAAGATTTTCAAATCAAAAAACTCTTTTTGTTGTATACAAAATGGATTCTGTCTCTCCACCTTATCTATCACCCTCACCTGAAATCTAACCCTAAGTCCCCCCAAAAAAAGACCCATTCACTCTTCTCAATCAGTCAAACAAGCATTGACAGAGCCAGCAGGCTCTGTGCTCAGCAGTAGGGACCCAAAGGCCAGACTGAAGCAATCTCTGCCCTCAAGAAGCTTTCACTGTATAATTCAGTAGTACATACATTTACAGATACCTATAAGACATTTCATTGTTCAGTCCTTTCAGTAGTATCTGACTCTCAGTGACCCCATGTGGGATTTTCTTGGCAGAGATACTCAAGTGGTTTGCCATTTCCTTCTCCAGCTCATTTCACTGATAAGGAACTGAGGCAAACAAGGTGAAGTGACTTGCCCAGGGTCATACAGCTAGTAAGTGTCTGAGGTGGGATTTGACTTCAGGAAGATGGGTCTTCCTGACTCGACGCCTGGTGCTCCATCCACCAAACCACATAGCATACAAACCAAATACAAGGTAGCCTTGGAAGGGAGAAGACATTAGCAGCAGATAGGCCTCATCCAGAAGGTGGCATTAGATCTGAATCTTGAAGAGACCCCGGGATTCCAGGAGGCCCAACTGAACATGGCCGTGTCAAGGGCTGCACGACATCTCTCAGGCATGTCTACCTCTACCATCCCATGTGAGCCTGTCTTTGCATCCCCACTTCAGCACAGAGCCCAGCACACGGTGAGCACTCAATCAATGCTTGTTGACTTACCCTGTAACTTCATCACCTCCCTACAAATGTCTCCTAGATGTTCATCTCCAACACAAGCTCTGCCTGCAGCTCTAGGCCCCTATTTCTTACCACTGGCTAGAAATCTCCCTAGCCTCCCCAGCACCTAAAACTCAACATGACCAAAACTAACTTTACATTCCCCCTCAGAAAACAAAAACAAACCAAAACACAGCCCCTGCCCTTAAATTCTGCATTTCTGTTGATGGTGAAACCATCCTCCCAGTCACCCAGGACGGTAACTCTGAAGTCACCTCTGACCCCTCCCTCTGCCGGCGGCCAAGTCCTGCTAAGTATGTCTTCTGTCGGTCCCCTCCCTTGCAGCAATCGCCTTAATTAAAATCTCCCAGCCCACTTCCCTCGACCTCTGGTCTCTCCCTTCTACACTATATCCCAGGTAATCTTTCTAATATATCTCTACAATTATACCCCTCCTCTAATCAAAAACCTCTCCCCAAAGCCTCCTAGATAAGGTGTTAACTCCTTAGCCTCTCCTTAATGCCCTCTATCATTTTTTTTCCAGCCCTTTTTGGCAGGGACAAAAAATAGCATCCCAATCCTAATTCAGAGATCACAAAACTTTATAGCTGGAAAGGATCGAAAAACAGGAAGGTTTGAAGCAGCCTTGAAATGACCCAAAAATTGATAACACTTCCAAAACCACTATTAACATTTGTAAAGATCAGCAGATTTACTGTGACTTCTCAGTTTCCTGGGTCAAAATTGAAGAAAATTCTCACTCAAAGAAAAATGTCTATGGTCCCTTTTCCTGGTCCCTTTCTACTCAGATGCCTTCCACCTATTCAGTCATATCTTGTAGGTATCGAGACACCTACAAATGGTGTCCTCCACTCTACTGTGAGTCCTCAGAGCAAAGACTGTTTCTGCCTTTCCTTATATGCATAGTATTATAAATGCTTGTTGACTCTTTCTTAGCTGAAGAAGTAAAATTGGTCAGTTTAATTCAACAAATATTTATTCAAAAAACATAACCAAATTCATTGGCAATTAAGCAGAAAATACATAATTTAAGCACATACGCCCATTTGCCCTAACTGGACAGTATTAAAGCAGGTAGGAACATCTCACAGATCCAGGCAGCACATTTTCAAAGCTAATTCTATGGAAATGTTTAGCTGCTACCAAACTGATCTGACCTCATGCCCCCACTGAGCCCATTCAGGTCCAGATACCAGCTCCACATCCTGCCCCTCTCCCCCCAACCATCCCATCTTCCTGCTGCATGCTTGGAAGCCCTTCCAAGCTTCATTTTCCAATTCTCTCAGAACCCTCTTGTCATGTGTTGTTCAAGTAGCCAGTGGAACAACGCCTCGGAGGTCATCATCCCAGGCCATTTTCCAGGAATCTAAATTCTATTTTAGATGACACTCCAGCCACTGGCCACACATCAGATGTCCTCAAAATGTGGCCAAATTGTCAATATATGGCATGTAAACTTTTACTTTCCAGTAACTGTCAGCCCTTTTCAGATGACTTAACTCAACTCATCAGGGTTTCCATGGTCTCCCCCAAAGAGCAGCCCCATCACTAGATACTCGCCCAGAGACTCAAGAAGAATCAACTCTCCATGAAGACTCAAGCACTGGAATGAGGGGAATTCTCTTTCTTATCTCTTGACAAAAGGGTAGGATCTCATCTGGCAAAAATGATTTCTATCTAGTCCTGTCCACAGCCAGGAATGCAGATTAAATCACCACCCCAGGTGTGACGTAGTCTCTCTCCACATCTGCACCTGTGGCAATCCACCCCTAATCTCATGGCACCACATCCCCTGACTGCACCTCCTCAGTCCTCCTACCACCATTTGGGCCTCTCTGAAGCCCTCATTACAATATACCTGGAGTCAGAGCCTCCCACGCACCCCTCTCACCAAGGGCAGAAGGTGCCCCTCGTTCCTTCCCTGCATCACCAGTGCCCGGCCCAGTCAATCAAAACCAATAAGGGCTTACTCAATGTTTATGGAATTGAACTAAACCCCCTCTGTGCTGCTTTTTTTTAACCTTCTGAGAGTGGTCAGTGACTATGTCAACCAAAGGGAAGGCGATAAGGAGAGTCCTGGTGTGAGGCAGCGGCACATAAGCTCCCAGAGTGACTGGGGGCAAATGTCACCAACTGTCTTCATTAGGCACAAGCGTACGAGCCAAGCAAGGCAGCTCGGCACAGGGGAGCGGGAACGTAGCCCAGGAGCCCCGGGCAGTTCGAGCCTGGCTAGAGAACTCTGGAAGCCCACTGCACAGAGACACTCACAGACAGCAGAGGAGTGGACGTGATGAGGGCGCTGACAGAGAACGAGGGAGGCTAGAATCCATGTTAAAGGGGCAGGAAGAGAACCAGGAGGGTGCAGTGCCATGGAAGCCAAGAGATGAGAGGCTATTGAGGAGGCCAAACAGTGCAGAGGAGTCAAGGAGACAAAGAAGGGAGGCAGGAGGACGTGGGTGAAACCTCTGGATTTAGAGAGGACGCAATCTCTGACTCTGCAAAGAGCCTCTTCAGCAGAGCGGAAGGGGCAGACACTAGGGAGAAGGAGATCACCCATTCTAGAGTAGGGTCTTCAATCTCCAGGGCCCATGAAGTCGAGCCTCTGCGCGTGTTGAAAACGGTATGTCAACATAACTCCTTTCCTTTGCAGTCCTACAGATTTTATCTGATCCACTTACAAATACTGCCCTGAGAAGAGGCCACAGGCTCCCCCAGAGTGACTGCCCAGGGGATCCATGACACAAAAAAAGGAGGAATCCTTGCTCTGGAAGCACTATCTGAGCCCAGAGAAGACACATTTCCCTTCAGACCAATCCCAGAACCACCCCGTTTAATGCACAAACCCGACACTAGTAAGTATAAAATCGGTATTAGGATTACCTGTAGCCCCAAGGGGGTGGCCCTTGGAAATCAATCCACCACTAGGGTTTATGACCCACTTCCCTCCGTAAGTATTGTCTCCTCTATCAATCAGCTCTCCTGCCTTTCCTAAAAAATAAAGATCAAAAATAAAACTGAAGCTGATATCAGACATGTTTCTTAAGTTCAGTGTTATGGTTGGAAATTTATTTAGGCAAACATTTCATGGCAGTACAAATTAAAAACAATTCTGACAGAGGGGCATAGAAAAAATTCTATGAACTGGTGCAATCACATACATGGAAAGAATCACCACCGTGAGACAAACCAAATCAGATGCTGGGACACTGTCAAGATGAAAGAAAGAGAAAAAGTCCCCCTGCCCTTTGCGTGAGGCAGGGTCCCTGGCAAGGAATGCTACACCTCCTGCCAAATTGTTTCAAAGTGTTGATTGGTTTTACGGATGGTTTCTCCTCTTCTCGTGCTTAATCATTCGTGATATTAGATGGCTCCCTGGAAGAAGGGAGGGGCCCATCACAAACCAGCCCAGCAGGACCTGGGCTTCCTGTCAGCTAATATGAAGTGCCAGAAGACATGTCAACAGCATTAGAAGCAGAAGACACTTACTAGTTGTGTGACCCTGGGCAAGTCACTTAATCATTGCCTGACTCAGTTTCCTCATCTCTAAAACGGTTAATAATAACACTGACTCCCCAGGGCTGTGAGGTTCAAACGAGACCATATTTGTCTTGCCCTCTGCAAACCTTACAGCACCACATAGACACAAGCTATCCCCATCCGCCGATGTCCCATCCACCTTTTCTGGGTACAGAGCCCAGAGCGGCATGAGCACTGCTCGTACCTTCAGCACATAATCCCAGAGCTTCATAAGTGATGAGCTCATTCGAAGAGAAACAGTCGTGAAGTTCAATGACATTGACATCCTTTGGCTTCAGACCGGACTTTTCATAGCACCTTCTGGCTGCTTCTTTACTCAAGTCAAAGCCGACCTGAAGCCAAAAAGAAACAAATTAACAGCATGAAAATGGGGTGGCTTCAGCAAAAATTATTTACAGAAATACAACCCTTGGTTAACTTGTACATGGCCCTGCCAGCAGAGGATCGACCACACCAGAGAACAGGCAAATGTACCACTTGTAGTACTCAGGGAGGCATCCACCCACTTACAGACAGACAATCCAAAGACTCTGTCTCTAAGCGGAGGCCCCACCCCTGCCTTAGACCCTCGCAAGCCTTTATGAAGCGTCTATTAGAGAGCAGCTTCTAAAACACACCTCAGGTCTCCTGAATAATACACTAATAGCCAACTAATCTCTGCTTCCATGTAGAGACATATCCTGCCCGTCACTAAATGACCACAACATCATGGTGGTCAGGGAGTCCCAAGGCCCAGTGATGCCACAGTTAAGTTTTACACCTCTAAGGCAGCGTTTGGTTATAAGAGATTAACATAACAATGTGATTATAAAACAAAGTTGGTGAGGACAATTTATGTGGAATGTGCTTAATTAACCTCTGCCCTTCTAAGCAGCATCTTCTCTAGTGATCCAGCCCAGCGAAGAACAACCTTGTGTGACTGGGCATTTTCCCATTTACTGACCAGAGGTCCTGGGGTTTGCCAATGAGCTGATAACCATGTAGGTTAATTTGGGGATTTTTTTTCAGACAGGTCTACAATTTTACTGTTGTAGGGAGGTCCTGGTATCAAAACTCTCTCCATCAATGGACTTCAGCCAGTTGTCTAGATCTGACAGCATTCCAGAGCTGCCTTGGCACCTGAAAGGGTAGGAGGCTTTCCCAGGGTCACAAAGTTAGCACGTGCCGGAAGAAGGGCTCCCTGAGCCCATGGCCAACACTCTGCCCACTGTGCCTCACTCATTTTGCATGTTAATTTAACGACCAGAGTAAAAAGAGAAAATAAGAGTGTGATGATAGATAATGCGAAGAATGTGTAAACACACACACACACACACACACACACACACACACAAATCCGCTGAGTATTTCTCAAAAGAGAAGGTCTAAGGGGGAATAGAAAGGCTGCCTTCAAGTATCTGAAGGGTGACCATGTGAAGAAAGACCAGAAGTCCCCACTGGTTCTGCTTGGCCCCAGAGGAAAGAGCTCCGAACCAGGGTGTAGGGAGAGAAAGATTCAGACTAGACAGAACAGATGTTAATTTCCCAACCATCAGAGATGTCCAAGAGGGGATGGGCTCCACCCTCCCTGGATGCCTCCAAGCAAAAGCTGGTGGAGATTCTGGTTGGGTACAGAAGTATCCAGCATCCCCTCCCACCCTAAGAGTTGCTATGATTTGTAAATTGAAGTAAAGGAAAAAGCAGAACTTCAGGCGTACCACTTTAATCATGCTGTTGTCTTTGAAAGTGCTGGTGAGGTCCGTCACCATCTCTTGGGCCACAATCTCCACAGCTCTGGATTGCAGGTTATGCTTAATTACAAATGATTCATTTGCCAAAATCACTGCGGCCGCACCATCAGAAGTAGGACTGAGAAAAAGCAGAAATCATCATTTCCTCACAGACCATGATTAGGCCTTACATTTCACCCTGGGATAGAGAGAAAAATGCCTATCCATTCTGGTCCAGCCAGCTCCTGGTGACCCCCCTGGCTTCTACAGACTGGAGGATCCAGGCCCTGGGCATCTAGCCTCCTCTCCCTTATTCTACTCCTACTTTGAACTGGTGGGCCCCAGGGAAACAGAAAGAAGAAAACACACTGCATCATACATGCAGTTTCTCACATTTCTAGGAAAGTGTTAGAAACTGAAAGCTCTATGAAGCAACTAGGAGGTGTAGGCCTCACTTATGGGTCTCACTTGTCCATCTTGTCCCTATCGCCCATTACATGGGACAACTATGGAGAAGGCACCTTCCATCACAAAGGTCCCTTTGACAGAGGGGGAAGAGCACCCAAGGAAGGTCCTGCAGGTGTCTCTGCCTGCCTTGTGGCCACGGGCAGCTGCCAAGGGCTGTCACGCATCCACACCCAGAGCCACGAAGGGCCTGCCTCCATCACTGCCAGCCCCTCCCAGGGAGCTCACTAGAACAGCCTCGAATCGCAGAGCAGGCTACAGCTGGGGGGATTCACCGGAACCCAATGGGGAGGGGCTGGATGGTCACATTGCAGTTTCCTCTCAAGGGGGTTTCAAGCAAGGAAGCGAGTAGGCTGAGAACAATACGCCCTGCAGAGCAGGTGAGCTCTGACTAAGAGTGAAGCCCGAGCTTGGGCCCCAAAGAGCTGAGGCTGAAACACGCCTCCTTCCTCTGGGCAGAGGGGAAGGGGGAACCACAGCTGAGAATGAGGGCACAGGCACCCAGGTGTGGCAGCTAGGTCTCTTAGTCGTGTGTAAACGGTCTTCTTGGTTATAAGGGAAGGCTCAAGGAGAGGGAGAACATTTAACAGTAACATCAATGCAGCATAAAAATTAAAGGCAATAATGCTGAGTGGTTCTAATGACCAATCTTGGCCACTGAGAAGACACGAGAACACACCTCCTTCCTCCCAGCACAAGGGTGGGTTTTTCTTATGGCCTGCTCAGATGGAGTGGGATGGTGTAAAAACAAAAGGAATTGATAAAGTTTTAAAAAGATGCTACACAACTAGGTATAAACATGAAAACTCAGCAGAGAACTAAGAGAAAGGAAGGCAAGTTTTGAGAGCAATGTGTCTAATAGTTTGCAAGGAAGAGAGGAAAGAGGAAAAGGCAGCAATTCCAGAGCAGCAGAGGAAGGATTCCCTCTGCTACTGGCAGGGGTATCCTCGGCAGAGAGAGCCCCGAGGGCAGGTGGTGCCTGTCCTCAGAACAGGGGTTGTTGCAGATTCCACGCAATGTCAGAATGATCTTTCTTACCAACACTGCAAGAGAGTCAAATAATCAAAGACTTTTCGAGAATTCATCACTTCATCCAAGTTGTACTTCTGCTGGAACTGGGAATACCTAGGTACAAAATGGTCAGTTACTAGAGCATGTGAGATGGGGGCTACCATGCAGGAAAGGGGAGGAATAGAGGAGATAGGGAGGGAGGGACAGAAGGGGGAGGGAGAGAGGGAGGAGGAAGGAGGGAGGGACAGAGGAGGGAGGGATGGAGGGAGGGAGCAGCCAGGACAAGAGCAAAGGTCTTTGGGAACAGCTCCAGGGTTCAGCAACGCATCTTCCTGGATGCCAAGGATTTACTATCCAAAGCTACTGTTCAAAGTAGGAAAAAAAATCCTCACTCTTAAATACTTTATTTTCTTCTCAAAGGATAACATAATAAGGGCCAAAGCCAATCCAGACAAATCGGTTCCCTTTGGGCCAGATTCTGTGCCTGTTTGGAGGAGTCACATCTGATGAAGATGAGGCAAACGACCTCCTCATCCTTCTTCTCCTCTTCCTCCTTGTCCTCCTTCTTCTCCTTTCTCTTCCTTCCTCTTCCTCCTCCCTCCTCCTTCTCCATCCTCCCCCCTCCTCCCCTTCTCCCTCCTCCTCTTCCTTGTCCTCCTTCTCCTCTTTCTTCTCCCTTCTCCTCCTTCCTCTTCCTTGTCCTTCTTCTTCTTCCTCCTCCCCCTCCCTGTTCTCCCTTCTCCTCCTCCTTCTCTTCCTCCTCTTCCTTGTCCTCTTTCCCCCTTCCTCCTCCTCTTCCTTGTCCTTCCTCCTCCTCTTCCTCTTCCTTGTCCTTCTTCCTCCTCCTCTTTCCTCCTCCCCCTCCTTGTCCTCCTTCTCCCTCCTCCTCTTTCCTCCTCCTCCTCCCTCCTCCCCCTCCTTGTCCTCCTCCCTCCTCCTTCTTCTTCCTCCTCCTCCTCCTCCTCTCCTGGCTCTGCTTCTGACTCACGAGATGTTGGCACAAGGCCTCAGCTGCCTCTTCATCCTGGAGGATCCCTCTGCCTCAGAGGCACCTTCCTCCTCTTGGCGAGTTCCTTCCAGAACCTCCATTTAAAAGCTCACCAGCTTTTGCTGCTCTGCTGGCTCCATGCTGACTCTCAGACTTTGATAACATGCTCCCTCACTGGTACCTCCTCCTCCCTGACTGTTTCCACTCCCTTTTCTGTGTAATCTTCCCTAATTATAATGTAAGCTCTTTGAGGGCAGGGATTCTTTTTGCTTTAATTTGTATCCCCAGCATTCTGTATATAGCAAGCACTTAATAAATGCTTCTTATTGATTAAGTGCCTTCTGAATGCAGATCACTGTGCCGGGCAAGGGGGACTGCCAAATTCAGATATAATAGGATCTTTGCCCACAAAAAGCTTACGGTCCAGGAAAGTGATAAGATCCCAACAAAGATAACTGCAAGGCACCACAAAATCACCTAAGTGCCTCAGGAAGGTGTGAAACAAAGTTCTACAGGAGGTCCAAGGGGGAAGGTAGTCACTGACAGGAAGTGATGGTGGGGAGAGGCATTCCGAGCACAGAGGCCAGGCCCAGCAGGGTGAGATGGAAGGCTGGGAGCTCAGAACAACAAGGCGTCCAGGGGCAGCTAGGTGGCACAGTGGATAGAGCTCCAGCCTTGGAGTAAGGAGGACCTGAGTTCAAATCCGGCCTCAGCCACATAATACTTACTAGCTGTGTGACCCTGGGCAAGTCACTTAACCCCATTGCCTAGCCAAAAAAAAAGAGTAATAATAACAACAAGGTGTCCTGTTCAGTTGGCATCGAGCATGCATGAGGTCAGTGTGCAATGACCTTGGGAAAGGCTTCACACCAATCAGTCCATTTCTGACCACTTAAGCCCCACAGAATCAGTGTGACTGCTCTTTCTATGAGACAATTGTTCAAACATCTGGAGACAGCCACCATGTCATACCTTTTCCAGTCTCAATAATTTCAGTTCCTTCAACCATTACTTCACATGACATGAGTTCCAGTTTTCTCACCATCCTATGGCTCCCTAGCCCATCAATGTCTCTCTTCAAACATGACAATGTATGACTTTGTGGTGAATTATAATCTGTTTTATATTGTTATCTTATCACTTAAGATATTGATCGTTTCTTCCCAACCAGCTGGTAGACTCCCAGAAAATCACACCGTGCCCTCTCCTTCCTCCATCATCCACACTTTGCCCAGCCCAGGGCTGAATCAGTGCCCAGGGGGGCCTCCCTCAATGAACGACCAATTCCCTTCATGCGAGGGCCTTTCTTCTGTTGATTATCCCCAATTTAGCCTGAACGTATCTTGTTAGGACATATTTGTTCTGATGTTGTCTCCCCCGTTAGACTGCAAGCTCCTTGAGGGCAGGGACTGGCTTTTGCCTTTCTTTGTACCCTCAGTGCATAGCACAGTGCCTGGCATGAAGCAGGTGCTTAATAAATGCTAGCTGACTTGACTTGAACCCAGGTCCCTTTCACCTGATCCCAGTACTGCTGATTCAACCATCTTACTGGTGGCTGGTCTTGCTTCTTAGATAAGACTAAGGGAGATGTGTGGAGTAGAGTGGGAAGAGGCCTGGATTCAGAGTCAGAGAACATGAGCTGGATTCTTGGCCTCCGCTTTATTATGAGCAATAAAGCTTTGCCTATCATTGCAGGAAACCCTGGATTTTTCATTCTGCCAGTTCTCTGGGGTACTTACGGATTATTGACTGAATGGTTGTGATTCTTCCAAGCAATTTTTGCAAAATGTTCAATTTTTGTGCCTGTGGAAAAGTTAAACATCTGTTAAAAGTAGATAAGTGTCTCCTACTACTTTATTTATATAACAGTAATAAAAGGTAATGGTACCCTCTACCGAATTCAATCATGCCACATTTCCTTCCCCACTTGGAAAGCATACTGAACTGTCCCAACACGTAAAAACCTATTTCCAATTAAATTGGAATCTAGTTATCAACTGGAGTCAACTAGTAAGCAGAAACAATGAAGATATCTAAAAACCAGCCTATTCTACCTGACCCAAGGGTTGATTTCAGCTGGTTCCCTGGGCTCACTAATAAGCTGCTAAAAATGTAAGAGAGTCCATTGTAGTAAAGAGCTGACAGAAACTGTCCAGAGAGGCTGGAATAATGTCTATACTCCTCTGGACTTCCTTGATTTACAATCATTCTTTAAGGCCTGCTGAGTATCCTGCTCTTCCTCTGATCAAGACACTTATACAAGATTGGTGAGAAAGGGAGGGAGCCTGAAGCAGCAGCAGCTGGATCTGAGCAAAGGACTTGATGTGATAGCGCCAACTTTTAGCAGGACACCAAGTGAAAAAACAATGCAAGGCTCATCCATCAGCAGCACTCAGATTCAACCTACTGAGGGGTCTGCCTGGACCAAAGTGATCTTAAGACCCAGTTGGCATAGAGAAGGGAAGCCCAAGAAGGAACATGATTCCCAACTCCCCATACCAGAGGACACACTGGCCTAGGCTAGAACTAGAAGCAGCTGGTGCAAATTCTGAGGACATAGATTTCATCAGTCAAATGAAAGGAAGAGCCTTTCCAAGACTGGAATGGGATTATCTGGGAGACATGAGCATTCCACCCTCAGAGTCAAGTGATCAAGGATGAAGTACTCCAACTTTCAAACTGTATCAATCTTCTCATTTTCAAAATGTTTAAAAACATTAATAATCTTCTGTATATGCTGGCTAGGCATATCAAGAGCTCTTAGCAACTGTAAAATAATACCCTCGAATTCTGATAACGTCTCTGGCTCAGTGAAAGGTCACGGGAATGAGAAATAGTATTCCAACTAAAATTTGCTTCCAATCTTAGCATTTTCTTGACATTTGTTTTAAATATCATAAAGTCTGAAACGAGAAAAACATTCCCAAATGGGGCGTGTATATTAACACTTAACAGTACTAACAATGGAGACACACCACATTCTGCTTTCCAGATGTTTTCCAATCTTATATTTAAAATCGCAGTCTGAGCCACGATGCCATCCTGAGGAGCAGCATAATAGAGTGGATTCAAGCCCTGGTTCCTGTGCCTACTAGCCATGTGAAAATGAGCAAGTCACTGTGACTTTCTGAGCCTTGGTTTCCTCATCTGCAGAGTGGGCATAAAACTTGCAACAAGCTAACATTCAGTTGCTGTAAGGAGGGCAACAAATGGTCCAGTTTTTTTTCTTTTAACTTCATAAAACACACTAGAAAATAAGCTAGGTAGCATTAACCAACCAAGCACAGTTCAAAGTCCGAAGAAGAATGGTTTATTTTACAGCACCTACACTACTTGGTTGTTCTGAATGCTGAGCAAAGACAGGCGCTCTCCAGATATTTACAGTAAAAACAAGGAAGCAGATCGTCCAGAGAAAAGATGTGACATACACCAATGATCTCTGATTTCTCTCCTGACAGAAGCGAATCAGCAGACAGCCTGCGCAAGTGGCTGAGTTCCAGGTGCCAAGTCCGGCACAGCAGAGTGAGGCTGGACCCTCACGCCCTCTGTGGCCAGGTCCTCTCTAAATTTGCTAGAGCTTACTTGCCCTCCAGGGAGCTTCACCAGAGCCACCACCATTCTCTAGTCATCAGAGAAGGATGTGAGGATGCAACAGACATAATGCCACACTTTTTAAATGAGAGACGCATCAGTATGTAAGCGTCAGTATTTCAGAGAGCCACGATGGCATCAGTGTGCAGATTCCTTCTGCCAACAGGGAGCAAGAGACCCTCAACCCCTTGGAAATCTGCTATGGCTACAGCATTTATCATCCCATAGGAATCCCAAGGCAAAGCCTCTCCAGGCTGAATTGGGTTGTTCATCAGATAATAGACAAAGCCTTTCGATGGGCCCTGGCATGAAACATTTCAGCCTGCTGGGACATGCCAGGGCCTGCCTTCTGCTGTGAGAACCCAGGCTGCCACCCCCCCCCACCATACCGTGCTGCTACAGAGACACAGAAGGACAATGGAGAAAGTAAAGGCAGCAAGAACTGCTATGGGCTGAGACTCCAATATCATTTTAGATTAATGTGGCCTCCCTACGTGATATAAGCAAATCCCACCCAGCTAGATAACGTGAAAGCGGTACCAAGAGGTCATCCAAGTCACATAGGAACAGAGTGCCCCAAGGGGCTTAAAAAAGAAGCCCTGTGTGCGCCTTCCTGCCCACAGGAGGGGCAGAGCCTTCGGCACGTGGCCAACAATCTAGGGGGTTTCTAAGGGCAAGTACAGCTCAGGCCCCACCTGGCCCTCCTCCAGCCCCTCTGCGCTCTGCACAACAGAGACCTGAACAGCCGGGTTCTCCCACAAGTCTGCCTTGCCTAATCACCCTCAAGTAGCATTTCTGAAGGTACCATATTTCTCCATGTGTTCTTTGCCAGCATATCCAAAGAGCTGAGCTGCCACGGGAGCTGGGGACAGGCCATACTTGTCAACCATCACCTCCATGTGTTTGTCTATTGGATTGGTCCGATCTAAGTACTGAGGGAAACACAAAAATTCAAGATGCTGACCAAATGGTTCTTTCCTGATGGAGTGTAAAGGAAAACACATTATTGTCAAGTACAGACTTGTGGGCAGAGGGAAATGATAGTGATGAGGACCAGGGGAGGGGCAGAAACGCCCCTGCTCTCCAGTGTCCCAGGAGAGAAGAATCAAATACATCAGCAGACACACCCTAGAAATTCAGTTCAATTCGATAAGCATTTATTAATCAGATGCTAAGAGTAAGACACCGGGGCTAGGTGCTAAGGATACAAATCCCAAACCCCAGCAGTCCCGGCCCTCCAAGAGCTTCCATCCTAGGTATGGCTGAGCGGAGAGAGTGCTGGATCGGAGTCAGGAGGACGTGACCTCAGGCAAGCCACTTAACCTCTGACTTCAGTGTCCTAACCTAGGAGACTGGCCCCCATGGGCTCCACATTCATAATCCTGGGCACACCGCTACGGAACACAAAGAGAATACAAGGTCATGGGCAGGATTAAGAGCAAGCAGGAAAGATAAATGTATCTGAGCAGCGGGAAGTATGCCGATGATGCGATGGTGCTGCCATTGTTTGACTTGCTGTGACCCCCTTTGGGGGGTTTTGGCCGAGATACTGGAGTGCTTTGTCATTTCCTTCTCCAGCCCATTTTACCGATGAGGAAATTGAGGTGAACAGGGCGAAATGACTTGCCCAGGGTCACAGAGCTAGTGTCTGAGGCCAGATGTGAACCCAGGAAGATGAGTTTTCCTGCCTCCAGGCCCGGTGCTCTACCCACTACATCGCCTACATTCTAATAGAAGAAAAAGAATCAAGTGGGTCTTAGAACCCCAATGTCTTCAGAGGGTGTCACGGGAATTCATTAAGAAAAACAGAGGACCTAGGACTATATTGGCTCTATTCTGAAGGGGTTTTAATTGTTTTTACAACAACTTAGTATCTCTCTGTATCACCCTGCATTATCCCGGAATGCCTTCATTTCCCCCTCTCTATCACCCCTCCTGGAAACCCATCCCTTCTAACAAAATAAATAAATAAATCAAAAGAAAAAATGGAAAGTTGAGCAATACGTAAACAACAATTTGACAGTGTTTCCAGTGTCCCACACCCACTGACACCCTGCCTCCCTACAAAGGGGTGCCAGGTGCCTGCCCTCGTCTCTTCTTTGGGCCCAAGCCTGCTCTTCGTAAATGGCAGCACTCATCATCAGTGGTCCCGAGGTGGTTGTTCTGTCTCCTCACGTGGCTCTCATCACTGTCTGTGCTGCTTCCTTGGCTCTGCTTTCTTCACTTTTCCTTGCTCCGGGTACGTCTTTCCGTGTTTCCTTCCATTCGTCCTAGCTGTCATTTCCAACAGCCCAATGATATCCCATTATATTCGTGTGCCACAATTTGGTTAGCCAATCCTCAGCTGATGGGCAGACATCATCTCTGTTTCTAGTTCTTTCTGGCCACAAAAAAAAAGTGCTGCTAAAATACACTGCTGTCTATGGAGCCTTTCTCTTTATCAGGGATCTCCATGGAGGACACGGAAGAGTGAAATCTCTAGGTCAAAGGGTATGGCCATTGGAGCCATTTTGCTGGCATAATCCAAATGGTCACGCTGATTCAAAGTTCCGCCAGTTCATTAACAGAATTTATTAAGCATCTACTGTGTGTCAGGCACAGCGCTAAGCGCGGTAGCAGTATTAATACCTTTGCATTAATGTGCTGGTCTTTCCCAACCTCAGCTAGTCCCACCTTCTGTCATCTTTGCCAGTCAGCTGGGTGGGAGCCTGTGAATCCTCTGGGCTGCTTCGATCTGCATGCCCTTTGTTAGCAAGTTGGGGCATTGTCAGTGGCTGTTAATCATGCTGGTCATTTGCCTGCTCGGGAACAGCTTTTGGCCTTATCTATTGCTGATGCTTGACTGTGAACCTTGGCTACCATACTTCATGTAAGAAATCTGATGCAAAGACTCTTTTCCCCTTTGACCGCATTCCTTCTCCTCCTAGAGGCATTAGTTCTGCTTGAGCAAAAGTTCTTGGAAATTTTATGTAATCAAAATTCTGCATTCTATCTTTTGCAATTGCCTCTATCCCTTCTTTGGTTAAGAATTCATCTCTCACCCATAACTGTGCGAGGTATATGAGCCGTTCTATTCTGAAGGTTTCAAGAGAGAAAAAGAAAAGGGAGATGAAAGGAATATACTAGCTTGGAAACAAAGAAGACCGGTCTCCTGCTATTTCTCAGACCTGGAGGTAGCCGAAGGGTGCACAAACTAACCGTACAGGGCAGGCTACACACGTGTACAGAGAGTTTGGCACAGAAACACAACAAACTCAACAGGGAAACAGGGCAGAAGGCAAATGCCAGAGACGACATCCTGATCCTCAAGAGGGGAGTAAAAAGAAAGAGAAAAGCAGAGCTCTGGAATCCAAGGGCCACCCTTCCACTAAGGAACAGCCAAACAAAGCTGGTATCTGGATGCAAGACAAATTCATCCTGGGAAACATGAAGTGGGCAGAGCCAGGAAAACAATCGACATGAGGATGACAAACTTTGTGAAGACGATACCTGAGAATTCTGGTCTTGGCCAGAGACCTGAGGATGAAGGCATTGTCCACTTTCTGCCAGAGGGGACGAGCCAAGATGGGGAACAGATTTCTAGGGACCTGGTCATTCTGCTTGTTTGTTATGAGATATTTGGGGTGGGTTTGTTGTTTTGGGTTTGTTTGGTTTTTTTAATTAGAGGGCAGGTCTCAATAGTGATGTCAAAAAAACAGGGGTCATTGAGGCACTTAAAGGAAGGGCCCCAAGAGTACAAAAGAGGATTCAGAAAGAAGCGTGGGTGGGCAGGACAGTCCTGAAAGAAACATATGGGACAAATTACATACTTTTTAAAAAGCAGACAATACAAAAGGAAGAGTTACAATTTCATTGTAGACCCTTTTTTGTTCTGCTGTTTATGGTTTATGTAAGTTCAGAAAAGAAAAAAAATTTTAAAAAAGAAAAAAAACAAGACTGGACAATTGATTGGATATAGGAGTGAGAGCAAGGGATGGATCTGGGATGACTCAGAAGCTGCCAACCTGGGGCCTGGAAGGACAATGGCTCCCTCGACAGAAAGTTCGGAGGAAGGGTAGGATGAGGGAAAAGCTGAGTTCTGTCTTCTCCATGATGAATTTGAGATGTCCCCAATGTTAGTGAGTCAGACAATCAATTTAAGAGCCTACTGTGTGCCAGAGAGAGCAGCATATGGAGCACGCTGAGGAAACGTTCAGCTAGCTGTGTTCGCTCCCTTCAAATATGGGAAGGAGCTTTATGGGAAATGTTAATCATAATCATTCTGCACAGTAGGACAAAAAACAAATGATAGTAGAAGAGATTCTCATTGAATATGAGGAAGAGGTTCACAAAAAGATGATAAACACTGATTGGGCAGTGCTAAGAGAGTTCATGAAATCTCCGTGATTGGCCACACAGACGCAGATAAGGATCTTGCGCAGCTAGGTCCGCGGGCGGTAATCTGTTTTCTATCCAAGACTGATAATGACCCACATCAGGTTCCACACTGAAGCAAAAACTCAGCTTCTTACATTGACACAACCACCAACATTCAAACACAGCTTCTTAAATGCGGAGCCAAAGATATGAAGCTGTATCTAACAAATCTGGCTCTACATCATGGCCACTAAATAAAAGCAGTGGGCAGGAAAGAAACGCGAGAAGGAACAGTGAAACGCTAGCCATTATCTTATGAAGATTATATTTGGCACGTATAAAGTGCCTCAAAGCCACGCAATGCAAACGACACTCACTTTTGATGCAAGAGAGCCCTTTTCCATCTTCTCAAAGCCAAGCGCCAGGGCACAGTTTGCCAAACCTGAAAATAAAAGTTAGGGATTTATTAAAGCAACGTCTCCAAATACTCAGAAGCATAAGTTCATTAATCATGGGAGGAAAACAAACCTTGTACAAGGTGCAGAGTACACCTACCAGGCTACTACCAGGGCTAGCAACGTTTTCTTTTTAATACCAATATTCTCCTATTGAGATAAGATAATAAATTACCACTAGGTGGCGCTGTGCACAGAGTGCTAAGCCGGGGGTCAGAAACAATCAGAAGTCAAATCCAGGCTCAGATGCTTCCCATCTGAGTGACCCTGGCCAAGTCATTGACCCTCTCAGTTTCTTCATCTGTAAAATCGGGATAAAAGTACCTACCTCCCAGAATCGTAGCAAGGATCATATGAGACCCACGTACAGCGTTTTACAAACCTTAAATCACGACATAAACACCACATGTTACCTAGTGAAACAATGATCTCTGAACACGCGAAACCGCAGGTGGCCCAAAGGGCACACACAGGAGGCCCCAAATGGTCACCAGGAGGCGCAAGCCCATCATTCACCGGCACTGGCACCGTGCTCTGAAGGGCTCAAAACACCCGTGAGCATTCCCTCGTGTGCACCCCACAATAACACCAGGAGGCAGGCAGCGCAGGTCTTACCATTCCCTTTTTACAGATGAGAAAACTGAGGGTCAGAAGTGACCTGATCTGTCCGTGGTCACACAGCCAAGAAGTGTCCGCTGAGACGTGAGCCCAGATTTCCCCGGCTCAGGCCTAGACATTTATCCACCATCAAGGAAATGTAAGAGCAGAAGAGAAGGCCAGCTGGCCTAGGAAATAACAACAGAATGTTCCAAGAGGAACATCCCCAGAATATGTGTGTGTGTGTGTGTGTGTGTGTGTGTGTGTGTGTGTGTGAGAGAGTGGGCGTGTGTCTGTGTGTGTATGTGTCTGTCTGTCTGTGGTGTGTGTGTGTGTATGTGTGAGAGAGAGGGCGTATGCATGTGTGTGTGTGTGTGAGAGAGTGTGCGTGTGTCTGTGTGTGTATGTGTCTGTCTGTCTGTGGTGTGTGTGTGTGTATGTGTGAGAGAGAGGGCGTATGCATGTGTGTGTGTGTGAGAGAGTGTGCGTGTGTCTGTGTGTGTATGTGTCTGTCTGTCTGTGGTGTGTGTGTGTGTATGTGTGAGAGAGAGGGCGTATGCATGTGTGTGTGTGTGAGAGAGAGAGTGTGTGTGTCTGTGTGTGTATGTGTCTGTCTGTGGTGTGTGTGTGTGTGTGTGTGTATGTCTCTGTCTGTGGTGTGTGTGTGTGTGAGAGAGAGAGTGTGCATGTGTCTGTGTGTGTCTGTGTCTGTGTGTGTGTGTGTGTGTGTGTGTGTGTGTATGTCTCTGTGGTGTGTGAGAGAGAGAGAGTGTGCGTGTGTCTGTGTGTGTACATGTCTGTCTGTCTGTGGTGTGTGTGTGTATGTGTGAGAGAGAGGGTGTATGCATGTGTGTGTGTGTGTGTGTGTGTGTGTGAGAGAGAGAGAGAGTGGGCGTGTGTCTGTGTGTGTATGGTATGTGTCTGTCTGTCTGTGGTGTGTGTGTGTATGTGTGAGAGGGTGTATGCATGTGTGTGTGTGTGTATGTGTCTGTCTGCGGTGTGTGTGTGTATATGTGTGAGACAGAGGGCATATGCATGTGTGTGTGTGTGTGTGTGTGTGTGAGAGAGTGTGCATGTGTCTGTGTGTGTATGTGTCTGTCTGTGGTGTGTGTGTGTATGTGTGAGAGAGAGGGTGTATGCATGTGTGTGTGTCGCTGTAGGCGTGTGTGTAAGGTTTACAGAAGGGCTCAGGACCACAAGGGATGGCTGGGCCGTGATCTGCACCAGGGAGGGGAGGGACACACAATAATGAGTTCATGAATCCATCAAAGCTATGAAGCATGGTATTAAACAGCTGCCCAGCAAAGCTCTAAGTGGGGCCTGAGGGAAGGCCATGACTGACCACAGAGAATCAAGGAAGACTTCTTGGAGGAAGCAGTTCTCAGGTGGGACTGAGAGGGAAGGGACAGAAAAGGCACACCAGGCAGGCCCAGAGCCAGCACAGGCCTCGTCATTCATTTCCCTCTTCTAAGGTGGTGAGCTCTTCACTGGGGAGGTGTTAGAGCAAAGGCTGAATGAAGGGCTGTGGATGGGCTTCATCTCCCCAAGCAGGGGTTGGGCTACATGACCCATGACACCAAAGGGCTCCTGGGAAGCCTCCGCAGCATCACATGCATGGGGCCTTAGCCCCTGCAATCCCTACAGGGCATGGGTCGGTCAGCACTGATGCCACCGGCACCATGGGGCGGGTTCTCTGCAAAGGGGTGTGGGTCCAGTTCTGTCTGTCAACAAGAAAGATTTTAGCCACCCTGCTTCATGCACATTACAGAACAGCACTGAAAGACACATACAGGAACAAAAGGGACCAGCCGTCGCTCCACTAAGACAGCCCACTGCGGTCCCTCTGCTGAGACAGCCCGACGCCAATCCCGGGGGTGCCTTACCGCCCTGGATCAGCTGTCGCGCCATATACAAAGCCGTGGAGCCGGTGGAACAATTGTTATGTACGTTGAAGATTGGAATTCCAGTCAATCCCAAGCTATGGTAGATGGCCCTCTGGCCACAGGTAGAGTCACCTGTGTGGAAGAGAGCAGACAGAAAGGAATAATTAAGAAGCAACAGCATCCCACAGAAATAAGAAGGCGCTGTTGGGGAAACAGAGTGTCTCATGAGCGACACCTCCATGAACCGGGCCACTCTCTAAGCCAGGAGAGGGTACAGAAGCAGAGAGCTACAAGGCAGCATCACGAGAGTCATGGTGGTGAACACCCTTTGCAGTTCACAAAGCACTTTCTTGATGACAGTCCTGTAAAACAGGGAGTGCATCACTCTTCTGGTTCTGCAGACAGAGAAGCTGAGGCTCAGAGATCTGGAAGTGACGGGCAAACGTGGGAAGATTATGAGTGTTTGATAAAGGAGAGCAGAGCACATTAAACCTCTGACTCTTAGTACCAAGCAAGGTATAAAGCAGGGTCACACATACTCACCAAAGACATTTGCCATCCATAACAAAAGAGCTATAAATCACATTTTAAACAATATAATTATAGATTAAATGCACAGAGGTGTTTCTTTCATCTTTTCCTTATCTAAATTCTCCAAAGTACCTGTTTAAGATACATGTACTACTCAGCTGACTCAGTAGGTCACCCCCATAACTCCATGTCACCATCTGGGCCAGAGGAATCTGTCAACCATTTGGTTTTTCCTGCATGCATCAGGTAGAACCTCTGTCTTTAGACAGAGTGGACACAGATCTATAGGAGGTGACACCGTAGTGTTCTTGAACTGGATGCCATCAACGCAATATCTCAAGAAGAGAAGCTTGTCCATAACAGAATCACTCATAGAGAATCCATCTTCTACCTCAGTTCTTTAAGGAACATGCTCCAGGACACAGAGCACACCTTTGGTGAGTATATGTAGCCCTGCTATTCCCTGACTATCAGTAAGAACGTGAGGCTCGCTGTTCTCACTTAACAGAGAATCTGGTCCCATCTCAACCTCTGCGTAGGAAATGCCTTGTTTATTCAATCAAATTTTTTTCTATAAACACAGTGGGAGCTGGTATTTTTCCAGGCCTCCTTAGCCTCAGGGCCTTCCCTCTGAGCTCACGTCTATTTGATCTTGTATAGACCTTGTTTGTACCTAGTTGTTCACCTAGCAAACTGTAAGCTCCATGAGGGCAGGGACTGTCTTCTGCCTTTCTCTGTATCCCCAGAGCTCAGCAGCAGAGCCTAGCACACAGTGGGTGTTTAATAAATGCTCGTTGATGTCTCTACACCTTTCAGTCAAATGTGACCACAAAGCTGCACTCTACCACAGAAGATTATCTGGAAGCACACATATCCCCTTCTCATCTATTCAAGGGTTCCCTGCATATACATACAGACCATTCACACCAGTATATGGGTCAGTAAATAAGTCTACTTAGTAGCCTTTTTTGACAATGACACTCTCATTTTTTTAAATTTTATTAATTTATTTTGATTTATCAACAATCACTTCCATATGCTTTTGAGTTGAAAATTTTTCTCCCCCTTCCTCCCCCCCACCCTCCCCAAGACGGCACACAATTTAATATAGGCTATACATTTACATTCCTGTTAAACATATTTTCACATTAGTGAAGTTGTAAGTAAAAATTAAAACCAACAGGAGGAACCATCAGAAAGATGAGACAAAACTCAACAGAAGGTAAAAATAAGTGATAGCGATTCGACCTCCATAGTTCTTTCTTTGGATGTGGACAGCATTTTCCATCCCGAGGCCTCTGGAGATGTCTTCAGTCCTTGTAATGCTGAGAAAGGTTCAGTTTAACAATCTTAGTCATTGCATAACGTGGCTGTTATTGTATACAAAGTCCTCTTGGTTTGCTCACTTCACTCAGCATCAGACCATGTAAGTCTTTCCAGGTTTTTCTGCAGTCAGCCTGTTCATCATTTCTTATAGCAAACTCTCATTTTTCTGGGGTATCTTTCCCTGTTTGAGATAGTTTGTACCCTCAATGCTTTCAAATGGTATCATTCTTAACACAAATTTCTCCCGTATTTATTTGGCCAGGTTCTGCTGTTCTTTCCAAATTGAATTCACATAGCTTTTCTTCTTTTTTGCATAACAAACAGGCGTCCTGAGCCTAACTGTGCTGGTTCTATCATCAATGAGTGAAACAGGCTGCCTAAAACATACTGGCAAAACCATTCCAGTAAGCATCTATTTGCTGTTCTTCCCATTTCATCTGTACATGCTTCGAGGAGGACCTCAGGCCTCACATTATCCTTGCCACAGACTAATTTTCCCATTCACTACTTTTGGTGGTTTTAGAAGGTAACAGGAATAGGGATGGGGTCTTTATAAGGCAAATTAACCACATGATCCTTTCCTTACAAGTTTTTTGCTCTAAAACTGGGGCTGCCCACTTGGCCAGGAGATGAAGCACTACTGGTGATGGGGCCTCTTTGTGATGGCTGCTTTACTTCAGCTAAGCTTCTCTAGGAAATGATGACAATCTGAGGCAACAGCCTTCCCCTGGTGGCCCATGTTTTAGAGTGAACAGATGATTTGGAGTCAACAGATTGGATTAGCACTATTATAATTACATGCAGGGTGATCTTATCTTTATTTTTTCTTCTAATTTGGCATTGATTTTGACTGAGAAGATCAAAATTAATATTACCTTGAGTTTCTACTGTATTGATTCTACAATGTAACTGATTTCATGTTATATCCACCTAAAGCCACCTTTCTATGTCCTTGAGTTAAGCTCAGGAATGAAACTTTCCCTCTGAGTTAGTTTAAAGTTATAATTAAAAGAAAACTTGTTATCCCTCATACCTTCAGCTCCTGGAAAATTCCAGGAGATCTGTTTATCTGCCTTCAAAGGCCTACAAGATCTATTGTCTGTTCCTGCCTGTCTTTGTGCAATTAAGGGAGGTTTTCTCTCTTCCAAGGAGGGGGCAGGTCTGGTAGTTTTGATCCCCTCACAAAGACTGTAAGCTGAGGATGGGTCCCATAAAACAATGAACTTACCTGATTGTCAGACAGCGGTGGTTATTAGCCTGCTTTCTCGGCAAGCAATCATGTTGTCCCCACCCCCACAATGCTGTCCACCCTCCAACCAATCGCATTGTCTTCCCAACCCTATGTGAAGGCTACCTCAAGTTCTCTGGCTGTTGACAGCCAAAGATCCAGTTTATCGGCTATTGCTAGACTAACTAATAAACTGATTATGCTCAGACCACTATCTCTCAGTTTACCTTAATTTTCTAACATAATATGACCTTTGCTCTAACTAGTCAATGGTTTGCCAGCACATGATTGACTCAGAAGTGGCCCAACACAAAAACTCAACTGATTGTCAGTTCAGACTAACCACTTTCACTTTCTGCGACATTTGGGGCCTACCATGCTTAATGCCTTCCAAATCTCTTTCTGAAGAAAGTACTTATGATACTTAGGCCTGAGGCTTCTGAGCCAGCTCTGGCCACTTTCACTTCTTATCCCAAATAATATTTTCTCAGTCAAGTTTTCTCCCTGTCCTACCCTTGTGCACGTGCCTTCACAATAAAAAGGCAAATCTGGTCCAGCTCTTCGTAGGATTTCTCTAACCTCTTCAGCTCCTGCTGAACTGAACCCTGAGCTGCCATCATCCTCACTACAGACTTGTTCATCCCCAGCACAGCAAGGTGACACGGCCAAACATCCCATGAGATGGTTCTGTCTTTCGGCACGAGGAAATCAATTCCACCAACTTTGTCAGTCATGTGTTGGGAGAACCTGAAAGCCATCCATCCATCTAATTGTAGCTTCTTAATGTCATCTGGTTTCATTTATATTGAAGATGTCAACATGGACATGGTTCCATCTCCCTCATGTGGTGCCCACTCGAGATGTCAGACAAATTATTAAAGTGACAACGCCAGACAGTCCAAAACTGAGGTGATTCTTAGAACTCTCTGACCACTTTCTGGCACTGCCACCATCACTGCAGATACATAATGAGTCCACACAGGACTGAGGGCAATTCTGTATTATCTACCCTCGGAAGGCTCAGCCAGAGAACTCATCACCTAGCAGCCAACTTGCTGGTGATGAGATTTCTCCATACTCAGCTAAGCTCTGACACCAATCAATCAATCAATCAACAAGCACTTATTAAACACCTACTGTAAGCCAGGCCCTACAGAGGCCCATGCCCTCAAGGAGCTTACACTGCACTGGAGGAGCCAACAGGTACATACCTAACAAATAGATACAAAATCCACACGAGGTAGCTCGCTTTGGGAGCCAAGGAGATTAAGGAAGGCTTTGCATGGAAGGTGGGAGGTTGAGAGAGGGCCAAGGGCCAAGGCCAGAGATGGAGCACTGTGTGAGAGGGGCAGCAAGGTCAGTTTGGCTGGACCAGAGAATACAGGAAAGAAAGATGCAAAAGGCTCCTAAGGCAGTTTGGGCCCAGGCCACAAAGGTCTTTAAAACCCAACCTGAGGAGTCTGTTTTCGATCCTAGAGGCAAGAGGGAGCCACTGGCATTTACTGATTAGGAGAGTGGCAAGGCCTGGCGTCTGGCACACAGCAGTTAACAAACGCTTGTTGGCTTGACTTGGAGGTCAGACTGGAGAGGAGATAGCTGTGAGGCAGGGAAACCAATGGCAGAATTCTACAACAGTCCAGGCCAGGGCCCTTAGGCCAAAGTCTGCCACCTCTGGTCTAGGAAGAGGCTCGTGAGCATCTGAACTCAGCTGGTGGGAAAGCGTGTGAGTGATTACGAGGGGTCAGAGGTAAGCGATATTGTGAAGACAGACACAAGGGCTGAGAGCTGACTGGATGGCACAGTGAGAAAGAAGACAGGAGGCTGTGGAAGGATGGAGACACCCTCAATAACAGGAGGAAAGTTCAGAAGGGCAGCGGACAGATGGTTCTTTCTGGGACGTGCTGAATTAGGAGATGTCTATGAGGCTGCGAGGGGGCACCATAGCGAACACAGCGCCTGGCCTGAAGTCAGGGTGACTCATCTTCCTGAGTTCAAATCCAGCCTCATACACTTACTAACTGTGTGACCCTGGGCAAGTCACTTAACCCCGTTTGCCTCAGTTTCTTTATCTATAAAATGAGCTGGAGAAGGAAATGGCAAACACTACAGTGTCTGCCAAGAAAATCCCAGATGGGGTCACAAAAAGTCGGACACGACTGAAACAATGGACAACATGAGGCATCCACTTTGAAATGTCCAGCAGCATTCGGTGATGCTGGACTGGAGCTCAGGAGACAGCGCCTGAGGCTGGATTTAGAGATGATAACTAAACCCATGGACGAGGATAGAGCCTTGAGGAATATCCACAGTGAGGAAGCATGGAACTGGTGATGAGCCCAAGAAGGAAGCCAAGGAGAAGGAGTCAGACAGGCAAGAGGAGAGCCAGGAGACCGACCGTGGAGGCATAAAAGCCCGTGGGGCCAGGGCAGTCGACAGGCACAGATTCTCCAGAAAGGTCAAGAAGGATGAGGATTTCTAATAAGGAAAGAACTGGAAACACGCGTTTCTCTGCCAGTCCATGGGGGTGGGACACCATCACATGTCATACTTCTGCAATATACTGGTGAGCTTTCCAGAACTGTTCTTTTCTTTCTTATTAAAGATAATTAATAACAATAACGATAGTAACTGGCATTTACGTGGCACATTAGGCTTTCCTTGAGGCTCCTCCCATTGTTCAGTCGTGTTTGAGTCTCCATGACCCCATCTGGGTTTTCCGGGCACATGCTGGAGCGGTCAGCTGTTTCCTGCTCCTGCTCACGTGAGGATGACAGTATTATTGCCCATGTGACAGAGGAGGCCACTGTGGTTGAGAGGTGAGAAGACCTGCCCAGGGCCATGCAGTTATAGTGAGCTAAGGCCAAGCACTAACTCACCATACACGTAGCCAACATATGCCTGCTCCACTTCCGAATAAGAGATCCGGGCATCAGCCAGAGCCTTCAGCCCTACAAAAAGAAAAAAAAGTATATTAACAAAAAGACTTCTGTCAGCTGACACTTACCATTTTTTTAGGTGAGTCAAGAATTAAGTTCTAGCACTCTCCGAAGTTTAAACAGCAAATATACCCTCACATAGTATCTCTCTCTCTCTCTCTCTCTCTCTCTCTCTCTCTCTCTCTCTCTCTCTCTCTCTCTCTCTCTCTCTCTCTCTTTCTCTTTTTGGCTAGGCAATGGGGTGAAGTGACTTGCCCAGGGTCACACAGCTAGTAAGTGTTATGTGTCTGAGTCCACATTTGAACACAGGTCTTCCTGAATCCAGGGCCGGTGCTCCATCCACTGCACCACCTAGCTGCCCCTCTCACACAGTCTTAGAGTCAAGCTTAACACATGTGTTTTCAGTTGAATATAATAATTAAGGAGCAGTTTAAATTAAGTCAGGGAAGGAGAAAACCAGCAGCTAGCTGACTTAACACAGGTCAAAGCCCAGAAGACTCAATTGGGCAAACAAGTGACCTATGTCCCTTTCAGTGAGAAGCATTTGAAGCCCCTCAAGTCTTTATTTTTTCCTTTTGCCTTTCCTTGGAAGCATCTGGGGTTAATTGGCTTGCCCAGTGTTACACAGCTAGTAAGTATCTGAAGCCACATCCGAACTCAGGTCCTCCTGACTCCAGGGTCCCTGCTCTAGCCACTACCCCACCTCCACCTCACCCTGTCTTGAGGGAAGTGGGGGAAGGGAGAATGACAGCAGTGCTGCCCACAGCCAGGAATGAAAGACCGAAGCTACAAGCAGAGCAGGGCGTCCTCAAGGGAGCGAGTGTGACAGAGAAGAGGATGCGGCGCCCACCACCATGGAGATCTATCAGGCAAGGCTCCACCTCTCCAAGGAAAATGACCCTGCCCCTAGACACAGAGGGCAGCACCAAACTCCCCTCCTCCGAGGGGAAGGCGAACCTCAGCAGGCGACTGGAGCCAAGGTCTGCTCTCCCAGGAGACAACATAGTACACAGGACGTGTTTCGAAAGACTTTTTTGCATGAGGATCCTGAGAACAGTCAGTCTGAACACTTTTCTGCCTGAGCCGCTGAGGCGCCCAATGGGCACTGACATGCTATGCCCCCATGCTGGGCTGCCCATATCACTAGAACCTCCTACTGAACCGCACCGCTTCTCTCCAACTTTCATTTCGGAATCTTCTTCTTAATTCTACCTCCCGATCTCTGGGCACCCTGATTGCTCACGCTGGCCTAGGCTTCCTGCCTCCCGCTCGGGCATACCTCTGGGGTCTCCCTTCAGTGACACCCTGCCAGCCAGTCCACAACAGCGAGAAAGACTAAGTGCAGCTCAACTTAAAAGACAGCCTTCTCTAGAATTTGAAAATGCTCCTGTTTATCACGCATGACTCAGTTTCCCAATCTTGTCTGCAAAGCAAGATTATTGCCTTCCCAAAACCAGGCAGCCAGTCTTTATTTCCTGTTACAGATTAGGTGCCATTTTCAATGCAATATACCCGGCCACTCAGCGGCGGATGACAGAGATCATGGGCTGTCAAGTAATAACCCCCCTACTGATCATGCCACTACCGAAAATGTGGGAAGTACAGCCTGACCCTAAAGGAGACAACCTCTGCTGCCCCCCAGCAGTGCTGCCACACTGGGCCAATGGCAAGGCCACCTCACCCCCAAGGAACAGGGACTGTCTGCTCAAAAATGAAGAAGGATGAAAGATCACTTTCTCCACGGGTTGGTTACCTGCTTCTTTTGCCAGGTCAGGGTAGTCCACTGAATCCTGAAGCCCAGGCTTCAGAAACTAGAAAAACAAGAGGAAAATAATCAGTACAAGTACCACACTGCGATTTTCCCAACTGGGTCGCACATCTGCTAAAAATATGCATCATAAAGAAATGGGAGTAATTTTTCTTATTTTAACAATGACTAACCTAGGGAACAGAGTTACTGATAATTTATTTGAATGTTGTTTACTTATGGAATTCAAAGGTCTTTAATAATTAGCTATGAGAGAGGGAAGGGGTCAGAAGGGAAGGAAGAGGTAAAGGGAAGTGGGAAGAGATCACAGGGCCTCAGGCCCGCTGGAGGAGGACACACAACAAAGGCTTCATCTTTGCTCATTGGCTCTTTCCTTTGTTTCTGCCTTGTTAAAGCCCAAGGCTTTGGAATAAGATGCTGACCCTAAGCTTCTCATGTCCATTTGATGACTCATTTTCATTGCCGGTTACTGAGTTTATAATCAAATGTTTTAACAGCAATCACCATCTTTAGCTAGTATGACCAGACATTGACTATGATGGTCTGGATGCATGCCAGTCCGAAATGAAGCAGGAAGAGCCAGAATCCACATGGCTCTATCTACTCACCAGGAGGATACTTTGGAAATCGTAGTCCTAAGACATGCTCCAAGCTCCCCCTTCATTTCTCTCCATGATTTTTCTTCACACTGCCCCTCCTTTTCTGCCTGATTCCACACCCAAGACACTCACTATATTCTACTCCCCTTCTTATTTCCAATCCTCAAAGTGCTAGGTCTGACTGATGACAAAGCATTTAGTACTGCTTTCTCTGTCACAGGCATCATGCTGAACACTGAGGATACAAATACAAGCAGGCACTGAGGATACAAATACAAGCAGGAAGAGAGTACCTGCCCTCAACAAGCTCACATTGTGATGAAGGAACATCTAAAGGGGAGCTAGAAACTGAAAGGGAGAGGGGAGGTGCAGTGGCAAGGTTTGAAAATGTCCAGGAAGTACACTAAGGCCTGTACTGCAGGGTCAGGTAAGGGGAATGTCACCCACAGGGCCAGTTTCAATAGGTCAATATTCAAAATTCAAATGGTCAATAGGACAGTTTCTCACTGGAATGTAGAGTGTCTAAGGGAAACAAGGTGAAATCGGTCTGAAAGGGTGAACTGGAATCAGACTGTGAAAGCTTTAAATGCCAAGCAGAAGTTTTTATTGGATGGAAGGAACCCCTGAAGCTCCTTGAGGAGGAGGGTGAGAAATCTGCAGATTTGTACAGGAAAAGAAATGGGGGAAGGACAGGAGGGTAGGAGGGCACAATTTGGCCCCTCCAGAAACTAGAAGCATTCACTGTCACAGGGATGAAGTCAAAGTTATGTGGGGGATAATAGCATATAAAAGGTGTCACACACAAATTCCCTAATAAGGAAAAACACCCTTCCCCTATGTCTGTCAACTGGGTGAGAGAAATGATTTTTTTTTAAGTTAAGTGACTTGTCCAGAGTCACGCAGCTAGGAAGTATCAAGGGTTTGGGCTGAGGCCAGATTTGAACTCAGGTCCTCTTGACTCTAGGGCCAGTGCTCTATCCACCGTGCCACCTAGCTGCCCTGAGAAATGATTATTAATAACCAATTATTCATATGGAGGGGGAGACCCAGGGTTTTTTCCCTTTTCTGTTTCTTCATTCAAAACCCAGTCCTTGGAAAGGACAAGGCTGACAATGAGACATTCTCCTCAAGCTTGGGTGGGGACCCTGCCCCCACTGGACAGCTATTTCTGATTAAAAGGTAAAGAGACCCTAATCTAGGTGAATTCTAGCCCATATTCTACTCAGGGAGGACTGAATGGAGAATAGATTCTTTTGTATAGATTGCTAGAAGCATAATGATCTAGGTGGGGATGAGTCTCTTTGTCTAAGAGTGCTGACATGATCAGTCATATCTCCCAGCCCCTCATTAGAAAAAAAGCCCACCTCTCCTTAGAATATTCATCCTCTCCTTAATTGTTAGCCAGTTAGAGTTGATGTCCGCCTGTCTGATCACCACCTCTCCTTAGAATATTCATCCTCTCCTTAATTGTTAGCCAGTTAAGAGTTGATGTCCACCTGTCTGGATCACCCACTCTTCCAAAGGTATTTAAGCACTGGATGATCTCCATGATTCCTCTTTAGTTTTCAAAAGAATCACTGACCTCAATTTATTATTTGCTAGTCATAATTAATAAATTGACTATTAATTACCCAGAAACTCTGTCTCTCAGGCTTTTCATTTGTTTGATGGAGAAAAGCTGAACAAATTGGGGCATATGAATGTAATGAAATATTACTGTATTGAAAGGAACAGTTTCAAGGAAACCTGGGAAGACTTGTATGAAGTGACGTGGAGGGAAATGGGCAGGCCCAGGAAAACAAGTTATACAGTAACACAGCATTGTAAAGACAAGCTGCTTTGGAAGCCTAACGAACTCTGATCAGTGCAATGACCAGCCATGATTCTGGAGGGCAGATGATAAAGCCTGCTGCTCACTCTCTGAGGGAGTAAGGATGGACTCAGGATGTACAGTGAGGGAGGTATGCCCAGCAGAGTCAGTGGGGTGATCTGTTTTGCTTAATTACTTAAGCGTTACAAAGGTTTTGGTTTGCTTTTTTTTCTTGGGAGGGGGAGAGGCATGTGGAGACGGAGGGAAGCTACAGAGGGGGTTGCCCCCAAAAAGAAAGAAAAAGTAAGAAAAGAGTGTCACTGCACCATGTTTCTGAAATTCACAGAAGAGAAAAGAAGGCCAAAGGAATGATGCAGTGGGAGAGCTGGTTCAAAGTCGGTAAGAATCCCAAGGCCAGCGTCCTTCCAAACAGGGCTTTATTATCATAAAAGCGAAAGGCACCAAGCAGCTCAGAACACTGGTTGGTTGGGTGGAAGGGGAATGGGGGACTTGCTTATATCAGAGCTGAAGGGGGAGTAGCTTATGGCATAAACTTTGTGCTATGCAAGAAAAAAGATTTGTGCCTGTGCTGTCCTGGGTCTTCTGGGTGACTATCTTGAAATAGCCATACTTTCACTCTCCAGAGTCCCTTCATAATCATATTCATAAGATATAAATAGAGACTTTGACATCACATAAGGCATTGAGGAGTCTCATTGTACTTGTGTGGTCTTGGGAAAGTTCCTTGACCACAAGGTCCCTGGTGATAGGGTGGGCTAAGGAGAGTGAGGTCACCTATTCAGCATATGGGGAAGTAGTTGTCTGCTCAGTATATAGAGCTAAGAATATAGGGGAAAGGGTGGCCTAATCAGGGTATAGGGAAAGGATGGGGCCTCACTGCTCTGGGGGGAAAATAGGACCTTGCTGTTCCTACTCCAATGACAGCCAAGTAAAAGTAAGGTTTGCCACAAAACAACCAAAGGTGAATGTCACAAAATGATAAAGAACAAACATGGCCCAAAAGACAGATTTAGGAAGATGCCCTGACTCCACTCCTCTGCAGAAGTACCAAAGGTCCATGGATGGAGATAAAATATCACATATATTTTCAGGTCTTTTTGGTGTATTGATCAGTTCTGTGAATTTTTCTTCTCTTCCTCTTTTTTTTTTCAAATATTATTTGCTGTTTGGGATAGCTCTTGAGGAAGAGGGAAAGGATACTGGGAGAAATTCTGTCAACATTAAAACAAAAGATATTAACCACAAGCTAATATTATTATTTTTTTAAGGCAATTGGGGTTAAGTGACTTGCCCAGGGTCACACAGCTAGTAAGTATCAAGTGTTTGGTCTGAGGTCAGATTTGAACTCAGATCCTCCTGACTCCACTGCACCACTTAGCTGCCCCCACAAGCTATTATTTTAAAAGTAACCTGCTTGTTATACACATAAAAAGAAAAAAAAACCCCACTGCATTCATTGGAGATTTGCAGTTTCATGTACAACCTTCATTTTCTGTTCTACTGTGTGCCCATTTTAGTTGATATTTGCAAAATTCAGAATTTTTTTTAAATGCGGGAAAAATAAATAAGAACTTGCATAGAAAAAAAAAAAGCCCCACGTTCTTCTGACAGAGAAACCTTCAAAGTGGAAACTGTGACCAAGTGGTCCCTGCCCCAGGGCTCCTCAGAGAGACAGACTCTTTACAAAAGATTAAAGGTTATTTACAGCAGTCAGCTATTAACAAAACAAAACCAGAATCTGGAGTCAAAGGAACCTCAAGAAATCATTTAGTCCACTTACAGTTATTTGACAGAAGGGAAAATGGAAGCCCAGGCAAGTGTAGAGCTTTGCCAAGGGGAACAGTAAAAAGCTGACGTCTCCTGCCTCCTACTGGTTACTGGAGGTAGTACAAGGATACACAAAAGATGTCACAATGTTCAAAGTGCAGTGAAAGCCAGCACAAGAGAGAAAAGTGTGTGTTAATTAAGAAATTTTTAATTTTTAAAAAGATCTATGAATAATGAATCAATACACTATTTCACTACATTGATCATATGCTGCATACCCACAGCTACACAGTTCTGGTTGAACAGGTATGTCCACCAAAATCAGCCCCTTTCTGTGGCCTCCAGACCTGAAATGCACTTGCCCCTCACCTCCAAAGCTCAGAATCTAGTCTCCTTCAAAGCCAACTCAGACCTTAGTTCCTCCACAAACCTTTTCCCAATTTCCCCTAGGCATTAAAGCCCTTCTACCTCTGAAATTACTTGGTATGTATGTTACATTTATTTATCTGTATACATATTGTTACCTCCTGACAGAATGTATTTCTCCTTGAAGTGAGGAACTGTTTCAGGTTTTACTTTTTGTATCCTTGCACAGTGCTGGGCACATAGTAAGCACTTAATAAATGCTCACTGAATGAATGAATGAATGAATGAATAATGCTAGTATGCCTGGCACAGCCCCTGAAAGTCGGCTCTGCATCATGGAGTACTTTTAATAATAATAGGTTACAAATGGCTCATCCAGGTGACACTGCTGAAGAAGGCCTGGGTTTGGAATTCGAGGACCTCTTGCCAAACTATGTGGAATCCTCTTCTAGCTATTTCATGATTTCATGTGCCTGTAACCTTATCTCACAAATAGATTCTAAGTCAACTCAAGGGCAGGGATCATGTCCTTCTTCAGCTTCTGTATTTCCTATATCATCCAGTGCAATGTTGGTCACACAATGAGCACTTAATAAATGTATGGATGCATGTTAGGCAGGGGATGCCCTCTAGTCAGATTCCCCAGTTTCTGGTTCCATAAAGAACCAGCCTTGGAATGATTTACTGCCTGTTGGACTGAAAAGAACAAAGTTAATGAATGAAAAAACACTTCTCATGTGCCAAGCACTGTGCTAGGGGATGGGAATGCAAACTGGAAAGTGAGAAGGTCCCTGCTTTTAAGGAGCTCCCTTGTAATGGGGGGAAACAACATATATAAGGGGTCAGCCACAGGTTCAGATGCATCGGCAGGGCAGAAGATACGTCTGCTAGGGCAAAGGGCATAATAGCAGAGCTGAGCATGATGCCAAGACAAACATGACTAATAACAAAGATGGCTAAGACACTAGGCAGTTAATAAATGCGTGTCAGTTAACTGACTGACTGGATATAAATAAGTAACTTCTAAGAGATGACCTAGCAATCCTTGGTGAATCCAAGCCATCTGGCCAAGACAAACTGCAACCTCAGGAATCAAAGTCCCTGAAGAGGAGATGGTCAAACCACTCTCAGAGTGAAAGGACTCAAGCCAGGCAGGCACCAAAGCACTAGAGAAGGGAAGAAAAGTCTGCTTCGCAGAAACATAAAAAGAACAGTCAAAAATGACAAACCAGTGGCACTGACTTTGATTCCTGGGAAATTTTTGGAATGGGTCACTAAATGATGATGTCTGGCACATCAAAACCAGGGCACGCGAAGCTAACCTAATGTCTTTTTCAATTTGTTTTGTTTTTTGGTGTGTCACTAAACTAGCAGAACAGGACAATGCAGCACATATAGTTTACTTACTATTTAATAAAGCATCTTCTGCCATATGTGCAAAAAAAAAAAAACAGAGCACCATTCCTCAACAGATAAGTGGGTAAAGGACGGGAACAAAGCATTTTCAAAAGAAGCACTGATGTGAAATTAAAGGGCATCAGAAACTTTTTAAACAGGGTCCTGGCCAATGGGAGCTCCACCTCACAGCGTGTGAGGCATGCTGACAGCCCACCTGGAAGAGCTGGGAAACCTGCTTCCAGAGAGGGGGATGACATGTAATGGAAGGCCCCTGCTCCCTAATCTGCAGCACGGCAGCGAGGGGAAAAAAGCCAATGGGAACAAAGGTACTTTAAAAAGAAAAAAAGATTAAAGTAACTAGAGAAATATAATAATGTATTTACAACAGAAGGAAAAAAATTGTAACTCGAAAAAAATCCTCAATAGTAGAAACAGAAGAAAATATAAACCTAACTCATAGCTTTAAATGTGAATGGATTCAACAATCCAATAAAACAAAAAAGAGTAACATGTTGGATAAGAAAACAAAACCTTACAATCTGTTGCTTACAAGACACATTTAAAAAACAGACACAAGGGGGCGGAGCCAAGATGGCAGAGTAAAAAACAGGCATACACAAAATAAAACTGAGAATACAAGAAAAAATTTACTATGTATCAAGTGAATGCAAAAAATAAGTGTTGCAATCATGCTATCAGACAAAGCAAAATCAAACATTCAAAAAAAATATAAAGGGATAAACTGTTATACTGTTAAGTGGCAAGGCAATAGTTTATGCCTAGACTACGTAACATTTTTATCAATGCCTTAAATAAAGTCATCAATGTGCAGATGACAAAAAGCTAGGAATAACTAATAGGAGGTAGGATACAATCCACAAAGATCTGACAAGGTGGCAACACTGGGCCAGACCTACTGAGAGCAGACAAATATAAAGTCTCTCACCCATGAAGTCTAAAAATCGTCCTCACAAGTTCAAAGCAGGAGATGTGCGGGGGAGATGGCTTTCTGTAAAAGCTCTGCAGGTTACAACAGCCTGCCCACCTGCAAAAGAGCTTCAAGGAAGGCAGAACAGCTTCTTCAAGCAGCACAGGGGCTGCCACCTGGAAGCATGATCATGTGTGGCCTCAGAGAGGGTGAGAAATGGCAAAGAGACGTATTCCATCTGAAGGAAGGAAAAACTTGCTAAGGATGAGGGCCAGCCACAGTGGCATAGGCCGCCTCAGGAGCCTTGATGGAGTTCTCCTTGGTGGAGTTCTGCATGGACTGGGCTGGCCTAGCCTGGATGGGCTCTCTTTCAAGTCTTGTGATTCTGTGAACTGTATTCAGAAGGTGACAAACAACGGGCATATCAAGTATTGACTGGATGTTTATGCAATAGTGAAACCACGAGTATCACACAACGTTTGGACTGGGAGAGATCTGTAAGGCCACCGAGTCCCCATGACTGAAGGGTCTCCGGGCCATCTACTCCCAAGTCCTATCCCCAGCCTGAGTGCTGGCCCAAGCCAAGAAGCGATTAGATTATAATCAGGGAATATCTGATAAAAATGCCACAGAACACAGCCGCTCCTGCTCTGGTGGAGTGCCCACTGCCCTCAGGAAAGCCAATATGGCTGGCAGAAAAGACTACATTTACAGGGGGGGCTCCTTTTCCCCTAGGCTTCCACCGTGCTCCCCCACGGGCTTCTGAGTCCCAAACATTACCTTCCATGAGCAGAGGAAAGAACACTGAGTTTGATGTCAGGAGACCCGCATTGAAACTCTACCTCTGTCATTTACATAAAAACCGAAAGTGTCCTGAGATGTGACAGCCTGCCCCGTGGTGTTTTCATTTTCTTTTTTTCTTATAAACATCAGCCCGGCTCTGTGTGCGTGTGTGTGTGTGTGTGTGTGTGTGTGTGTGTTACTTACAATCTGTGTGACCACGAGCACACCATTTCTCCTTTGTTGTCTTTTTGTTTTCTCATCTATAAAATAAGGGGGGTGGATGAGATGCCCTCTGAGGCCCTCCCTAGTTCTAAATCTAGAATCCTAACCTCTCAGATCTAAATCCTATGGCCCTATAACCCTCCACCTTTCTCCTTAACAAGTGTCTTCTAAGCACCACCAACTTTGTGCTGACACCAGGCTCCAAGAGACCCCAAGCCTCACACAGAGGAAGGCTGCTTTTGTCTGACTTTGTGCCTGGGCACACAGTAGGTGCTCAATAAATGCTTGTCCTTTACTCCTCCCACATTTCTAATTTGTTGCTAATAATTGCATCTGCCTAGAATACGCCCCCCTTTTCACGACTGACATCTCCCCCGGGGGGAGGTCTCCGTGCCTCAAGGCTCTCCCCCACCTCAGCCACCAAAATGATTTTCCTAAAGCGGAGGTCTGATCGTGTCACCCCCCACACACACATACTCCAGGGGCTCCCTCTTGCCTCCAGGAGCAAACACAACATCCTCTACTTGGCATTCAAAGCCCTTTCCGACCTGGCCCCCTCCTCCCGGTCCAATGCTCCCTCACTCCCTCCAGGCAACACTAGCCTATGTGTCGCTCCCCCCTCCCTCTCCAGACTCCGGGCATGTTCCCCGGCTGTGCCCCACGCCGGGAGTGCCCTCCCTGCTCCGGCTTCCTCCAAGGACAGGAAGCCTCCCCCCTCCCCTCTTAATTCCAGCGCTTTCCTTCCGGTTAATCATCCCCAATTTCTCCGGGACTTCGCAGGTCCGGACGCAGCGGCTCTAGACTGTAAGCTCCCCGAGGGCAGGCCTGCCTGGTAAGCGCACGGCCGGCCGTTACCTTGGTCATCCCCACGCCCACCACGAACACGCGTTGGGAGGCGGCCATGACGGGAGGGCGCTGAAAGCCTGACCGGACGGACTGAGTGACGGGGCAGACTGACAGGAGCGGAGCGCAGGCTCCCGGTGGGATGGGGCGGGGGGCGGGGGCGGGGGCAGGGGCGAGGCCTTGCGTCATCAGCAGGAGCCGCGCTCAGAGGCCCCTCCCCCCCGCGCCACCGGCTCCTGCCATCTCGAGCCCTGGGGACAGCTTGTGCGCGTGCGCAAGTCTGGTTCGGCGCCTCACACACCCCATCCCCACCCTCGAGAACTTCTAGGTGCGCGTGCGCGCTGCTGTTCATGCCCTGCTGATGCCAGGTTTAGGCCTGCCTTGTGGGTGCACGTGCGCGTGCAAGTAACCAATTAGTCCGTAAAAGTTCGTTAAGCGCTAGGAATGTTCCAGGCAGTGCTAAGTGCTTTGCAAATACCATCTCTTTCGAGGCTCTGGGCTCCTAGGGTGAATGGGTGTTTGGGATAGTAACCGACAGCCTATGCTGTGCTTGTAATCCCCTTGCAGCACCACCACGGTCACCCCCACAGGACCCTCTTCAAAGCATCCTGTGCTCAGAAGTCGTTCTTTTTGCTGAATGACGTATTGAAGACCTTGTTCATATTTCAGATCTCCCACCGTTCTCTGTGACTCTAGTATCAATGCTGACTAACCCAACCCCATAACCTGAAAGTTGCTTTCCTCCAAGGAAATTGTATCAGTCAAATGACGCGGGTGGCTTGGACTTGAAGTGATGAGCCTCAGATAGACATGCAGAGGGAGAGATGGTTCGGAGTCGGTAGGAACACCAGGGCTAGAATCCTTCCAAGCAGGGCTTTATTGTCGTCGTAAAAGCAAACGGAGCCGAGCAGCTCAGAATACTGGTTGGGTGGAAGGGGAGTGGGGATTTGCTTGTATCAGAGCTGAAAGAGGAGTAACTTACGGAAATTTGCTACCGGTTGGCTATCTTGAAATAGCTATACTTTCACTCTCGAGAGTCCCTTCATTATCATATTCATGAGATGTTAATGGAGGCTTTGACATCACATAAGTTACTATCGGGCATTGAGGACTCATTGCGCTTGTGTGGTCTTGGGAAAGTCCTTTGACCACAAGGTTGCTGGTGATAGGGTGGGCTACGGAGTGGGGAGGTTGCCTGTTCAGCATATGGGGGAAGTAGTTGTCTGCTCAGTATATAGAGCTAAGAATATAGGGGAAAGGGTTGCCTAATCAGGATATAGGGAAAGGATGGGGGCCTCACTGCTCTGGGGGAAAAACAGGGCTTTGCTGTTCCTACTCCAGACAGACTGAGAGTTTACTGAAACACCCCAGTGTGAATGAAATAAATTGTAAACACCTTGAGGACAGGAGACGTCATTTTGTTTGCAGTTAAACCAGACCTTTATTTTGTTCTCAAAGGAATATAAGGCCTCTGGGAGAAAATGGGGTCAATAAAGGGAAGAGGGGTTCCTTCCCTAGCACCCACAAATTAAAATTATATAGGCAGAAGCCTATTTTATTTTTCCTGTCTTTAATCATCCCTTTGCCTATGCCTGAGGTTCCCCACCACATACAACTTACCTCTATTTTGCTCTGTTCAACAGCTCAATTCAATATTTATTCAGTAGTCCTACCTACAGATCCCATGCTTTCAATACCCAGTTCCACTATCACCTCTTCTAGGAAGCCTTCCCTGAGGTCTCCCTCATTTCCCAAACAAAAGTGCTGTATTGTCTCCCTCCTTGGAGCTTTCATTTTGTATCTTTCATGTGTACTTATCATGTTAAATTTGTGTTATGGTTAGGTTATTCTGTCATGTTTTTAGTTATATCTGACTCTTCGTGACCCCATTTGGGGTTTCCATGACAAAGATACTGGAATGGCTTGCCATTTCCTTCTCCAGCTCATTCTACAGATGAGGAGACTGAGGCAAACAAGGTGAAGTGACTTGCCCAGGGTCACACTGCTAATAAGTATCTGAGGCTGGATTTGAACTCATGAAGATGAATCTTCCTGACTCCAGGCCCTTCACTCCATCCGCATATTATGTACTTATGTACATATTTTAGCTTTATTGTTAGTTTGTAAGCTTCTCAAAGGGCATGCATTTTTAAATTTGATTTTATTTTTATCGATGTGCCTTTTTAGATTACATTTATTTTCATTGGATTGTAAGCTCTCTGAGAGGGCAGGGACTGTCTTTTGCTTCTTTTTGTATCCCAATACTTAGCACAGTGCCTAGCACACAGTAGGCCCTTAATAAATATTTTTTGAATTGAATTTCTGTGTGTATCTTTCCTCCTCCCTTACCCAGGTAGTCACCTCTTGTAACAACAATTTCAAAAGAGAGAGGAGAAAACTAATACTAAAAATAGAGCTGGCATTTATGCAGCATTTTACAAATATTATCTCATTCTTACAAACAATCCTGGGGAGTAGATGCTGTTGTTCCTCATCTGTAAAATGAAGAAATTAGGGCACGGAGACATGAAATCTTTTGCCCAGGATCACACAGCTACAAGGAATCTGAGGCCAAGTTTGAATTCAGGACTTCCACTTCTTGTTGTTCATTCTTCCTTCTCCAAGAGAACCAATGCCTGTTTGGGTATAGGGGGACCCTTCTGTCTTTGACCTCCTTATAGTATAATGAGCCCAACAATGAGATATCTGGTGCAAAAGGCATGGACGTTTTACTGTAGTCCCTTTTTGACGTAATTCCAAATTGTTCCACAATAGCTGGAGCAGTCTACAACTCCACTGACAGAGTATGAGCATGCTTGTATTCCTGCAGCCCCAGGCCAAGTCTTATTCACCTCCCTATCTCCTCAGTGACTAAAACAGAGCCTTGTACATAGTAGGTGATTACTAAATGTTTATTCAAACAATCAGTGAGTGAGTCACCAATGACCTTCTCGCCTGAGCCCCAGGACTCTTTCTAATCTTCATCCTATTCAACCTCTGCTAAATGTGACATTGGTGTTAACCACTTTCTTGAAGTATCTTGGCTTCCATGACACTACCCTACCTCGGCTCTTCTCCTAGCTCCCCGGCAGCTGATTCTTGATCTTCTTAACTGAACTCTCTTCCTTCTTTTGAGACCAACTTTGGCTCTACCCCAAGCCTCTCAGGCCTTGATCATTTTCTCTCCTTCAAAATTCACAATCACAAAGGTCATATGTAAGAACAGGTAGGTGGCACAGTAGACCACTGGGCTTGGAATCAGGAAGATTCATCTTCATGAGTTTAAATCTGGCCACAGACACTTACTGGCTATGTGATGCTAGGTGAGTCACTTCACCATGTTTGCCTCAGTTTCCTCATCTAAAATGAGCTGGAGAAGGAAACCACTCCAGTATCTCTGCCAAGAAAACCCCAAATGGAGTCACAAAGAGTCCTGAAATAACAACAATAAGAAAGTCACATGTATGCCCATGGTTTCAACCTTTACCTTGTTTATGGTACCATCCACATCTGCATCTGTAACCTTGAACTGCCCACTGGTCTCCAATGCCACATTTCTAATCAAACTCCACCCCTTTCCCACCAACTAGGTCTTCTTCTCAACCATCCCATTTCTGACATTCTTCTAAATCTTGAAGCAATCAGAACTTTTCTTTGTACTATTCAGCACAAAACTTTCCTCCAGGCCAGTGATCTAATCAGCAGACTGTCCATGTCCTAGCTCCTGCTCTAAGCCATTTCCCATGACCTCCCTGCCTCCTTATCATCCATCTACATCCTACTGGGGAGAACACAAGCCAGTTTGAGCTATGCTGTAGCAGCCAAAACAAAAAGGTGATGTAAACTTGGGCTATGATAGAGGGATGTGGTGTCCAGCAGCAGGAAGGGTAATATATAAGTGAGCTGGAGAGTGTCCAGAAGAGGGTGGAAGGTCAGAGGACCTGCTCCAGCTGCTGGGAGCTATAGAGGAATGCAGAGAGAAGGTGAAGCGAGGAGCTAAGCCCCCTTAAGAGTCAAGAGCCTCAGAAAGAAGCATGTCCTGAGAAGCCAACCTGGACATAGCCCCCTGGTTAGCCTGCCCAAGGGACAGAGGCCAAGCAGGCTTCTGGACCACAGGAGCTCATAAAGGCCTGTTCTTATTTCCCAAGAACCCTGATTTCAGTTGTCTGTTTTAACTGACCTGTAAATCAACTTTGCTTATTCATGGAAAACACAAAAACTCCAACCCTTCCTTCAAGGCCCACCTCCTCCAAGAAGCTTTCCCAGGTCACTCCAATTTCAAGTGGTCTTTTCATCCTCTGATCACACAGAACTTATGATCCTTATACTACTTTTAAAGGCTCAACTTAGATGTCCGGCATGTTCACAGGATCCCAAATATCTATAGCTAGGAGGGACCTCACAGGCCAATTCTCCTTATCCCCATTTTGCAGATTAGGAAACTGAGGTTAAGAGGCTTGCCCGAGGTCGCCCAGGGAGTAAGGAATGGAGCCAGGATTGGAGCTGAGGTTCTCTGTCACTAGAACAGGAGGAGGAGAGCAGGGGGACAATGAGCACAGGTCTGTCTAGAGTGATGGCTCCCCAGGGTCACAATATGGAGCAGAGGGCCCAGTTCTCACCTGGCTGCTCCATGTGAAACCAACAACTCCCTCCCAAACCTTGGACCCGTACTCTGACTGGAGGTTGGGGCCCAATCCCCTGGATTGTTACCAGCTGGCAGACAGACTGGAATCTGGCTGGACCAGGTGCTTCCATGATCCCTGCAATGGTGCAAGGTACTCATACCACACACTGCTGATTTGATTAATTCCCTGCTTTCTTTTAGTGTGCCCATCCCCCAGTCACCTGTTTAAAAAAAGAAAGGAACAAGACAGTCCAGTCTGGTGGACCCTGATCTCTGATAGACAAACTCACTTTGTGTTACCTGGAACCAGGCCACCAAGTTATTTTCAAATGATACGTTGGTGTGTAAACACCCCGCCCCTCCTGCTTTCTAACTCCCTTTTAAGGGATGTTGTCTGTCATTAGAATGTACGCTCCTTGCAATTTGGAACCATGCCCAAAGGGCTATAAAACTATATATCTATCTATCTATCTATCTATCTATCTATCTATCTATCTATATATATATATATATGTAACTATAAAACCCTTTGACCCAGCAATAGCACTTCTAGGGCTGTATCCCAAAGAGATCATACAAATGGGAAAAGGACCCACATGGACAAAAATATTTATAGCAGCTCTTTTTGTGGTGGCCAAGAATTGGAAATTGAGGAGAAGCCCATCAACTGGGGAATGGCTGAACAAGTTGTGGCATATGAATATAATGGAATACTATTGTGCTATAAGAAATGATGAGCAGCCAGACTTCAGAAAAACCTAGAAGGACTTATATGAAATGACACAGAGTGAAGCGAGCAAAACCAGGAGAACATTGTACACAGTAGCAGCCACGTTGTTCCATGACTTAGCTCTTCTCAGCAATGCAAGGATCTAGGACAACTCCAAAAGACTCATGATGAAAAATGCTATCCACATCCAGAGAAAGAACTTTGGAGTCTTAATACAGAAAGAAACATACTATTTGCTCTCTTTTTTTATTGTTTTTATTGTTTTGTTCTTCTTTCTTGTGGTTCCTCCTATTGGTTCTAATTCTTCCTCATAACATGATTAATGCAAAAATATGTTTAATACGAATGTATATGTAGAGCCTATATCACATCACATGATGTCTTGGGGAGAGGGGAGGAGAGGGAGGGGGAGAAAATTTAAAACTCAAAATCTTATGGAAGTGATATTGAAAACTAAAAATAAATGAATTGATTTTTTAAAAAAAGAAAAGAAAAATAGGCCAAAAAAAAAAAAGAATGTATGCTCCTTGAGGGCAGGGACTGTCGCTTATTTATTTCTATCCTGAGCACTTAAGTCAGTGCCTGATATATAATAAGCACTTAATAAAAGCTCTGTGGAAGGCATTATACTATACAAAATGAAAAATATGTCCTGCCTGCCCTCAGGGAGCTTCCATTCTCATGAAAATATACAGTATGTAAACAAGTACAACTACAGTAACTAAACAAAGCAAATTTATTTTGTTCTACTATAGCAACAACCTCCATTTCTGTGTAACTTTTGGTTTGCAAAGCTCTTTCTTCACAACAACCTTGGTAGCTAGAAGGTCAAATAGTATTATCCCCAGTTGACAAAGAAGGAAACCGAGGCTCAGAAATGCACTGACTTGTCCAAGGTCACGCAGTAAGTGGTGGAGGCAGGGTCAGGTCTCTCGACTCCCAAGTCCAGTGCTCTGTACACACTGTACCCATGAGAGCAATGGCCCCATGCTCTGGTGCACTCCTGGCAGGTGAAATGACTCTTGAAACTAATGGCAGGGGCAGCTAGGTGGTACAGTGGATAGCGTACCAACTCTAGATGCAGGAGGACCTGAGTTCAAATCTGGCCTCAGACATATAACACTTACTAGCTGCGTGACCCTGGGCAAGTCACTTAACCCCATTACCTAGCCAAAAAAAAAAGAAAGAGAGAAAGAAATTATAATTCTCTTCTGAAATAACTACATTGAACCTTAATCCATTTAAATGAGTTGCAAGGCCTTGAAATTTAAAAAAAAAATTTTTAAAAGAAAAGAAGAAAAACCTTATTGCGTTATTTGAAATGAGCCCTGTATGGCTGGAAAAGGTGGATCTCTATGTGCTGCTTAGAGATCCTTAATCAAGGACGTATGTTATGCTGACCAGAAACTCAGATCCAAAGATTGGTCCAAGGAGTTTTTTTTCACAATTGTCAGCCCATATGTCTTCTAAGTGCCCTTACCAGGTCCTTCTCACTACCCCCACAGCTGCCAAACTTGTGAGTGTGGACTCCTGGATCATCTGAAGAAAGCCCCTGCTCCTGAGTGCACAGCAGAACCCTCCAGGGACCTCAAGGTTGGTCTAGTACAGGCCCAGAAGCAGCCTACATCCGGACCAGATAGCTGTCCCAAAATTCCAAATGATGGCTGGGTATACTGTCTTAGTTTTTTCTCCTCTTCCCTTTCGTTATGTGCCCAACCATCAAGGCCCTGATTCAAATGTATGCTGGCATTTTCTCCCTCTCCATTGCTATCCCCCCTCTCTTTTCTGCTTGCAAGCAAACAATAGCTAGCAATGATACCCGGGACATACTTGTCAATAGGTCCCCTCGAGGAACTGACCTCCTAGGATAAAAATGTTGTTCCTGAACCAATTGGCCTCTCGTGGCATCTTGGCTTATACCTGCCTCTCTTTTACTGGCCTGAAGGGTGGGGGTTCTTTCAGACACCCTCCCTTTGGCCAAAAAGGGATGTGTCAAGATGCCATGAGGAGAACCCTGTTTTCCAGAGCTAAGGCCAAACAAGCAGGCTATGCCCTGAGCTGGGCATAACAATAATCCTTTGCACTCATCCTCTGGATGATGTCACCTTCTGGCAAAATCATATCATTATTGTATTGCTTCAACCAGCTCCAGGTGTTCCCCGAGCATGGAGGAACTCCTGCTGTATCCATGTTGAGATGAACTTTTAAATATCAGCCTCCTCAGAGGCTATAACAGTAGTTCTAGGTTAAGTTACCGAATCCTTTCCATCTTTTGTGTGTAAAAAATAAAAATCTCTATTCCATAGAGGTAGGCATAGGGACCGGGCCTGTGATTTCATTGAGATAGGGAATGCCCCCCCCCCAGATGAGGAAGACCCCAATACAAGTTGGCCACAAGGTAGGTCAGTGGATAAAGGGTTGGGTTTGGAGTTGGGAAGAACTGATTTCAAATCCAGCATCAGACCTACATCAATGGTCTCCATATTTTTTGTTCAAATGCCCCTTGCAGTAAAAACCTTTTGATCACACACACCATATCTATCTATCTATAGATACATATATACACATACCTATACACACACACATATACATATATATATTTATTTAGAAATTGTTTGCATTTACTGCTGTTGTCATCATTTGTTCTTCATTTTCAAAGAGGACCAGTGACATCATGGCTATGGTTTGAGTTGCATGTGAAAGGGTTTTAAGGGAGGCAGAGTTGCACACAGTTTTTGACCTCTCTCTCTTCCTAAGTCATTAAAGTCCAGTGGCAAAACTAAAGTTAGGGTGACTGGTGATGGCCCAGGACGCAGTGGATGGCCTTGGCATCTTCAATGCCTGACCAAGCTGTACTAATAACCAGGTGCATTACAAAACTCATACAAAAACAGAGATTTTAACTAGATGAAATAATACTGGATTCTAGAGTCAATGGGGAGCCAATGGGGTTTATTGAGGAGAGTGACAGGATCAGACTTGTACTTTAGGAAAATCCCTTAGGCAGCTGTGTGGAGGGTGGGCTGGGAGGCGGAGACTTAAGGCAGGGGGTCAATGAGGAGACTTTGCAATAGTACAGTTGAGAGCCGCTGGGGCCTGAACAAGGTAGTAAAAGGGGCACAGATGTGAGAAATGTCGAGGAGGTAGAAATGACAAGATTTTGCGTTTAGACTGACATTTAGATTGTGAGTCTGGGGGTCTGGGGGCATGATGGCACCCTTGACAGTAAGAGCTAGGGGAGAGAGGAGGGTTCGGGGGAAAGATAATGTAATGGGATCGACCCATTCATGCCTGCTCATCCCATGGAGGCAGGGCTCCTGAGAACAGAGAGTCTCCCCTTCGAGGGGCTCTTGCCGCAGCCATGAGGTGAGCTGATCTGGGTGCTGGGGGGGGGTCAGAATGCTGAGGAGAGAGCAGGGATTTTCCCAAGGACACCCACACTACTCAAACGTCCAAACAGAACCAGACTCAAAGTGCAGAAAAGACAGATTAATAGATGGAGGGCATACTGTGGGCAGCTAATAAGCTTAATAAGGAACTCCTGAGACTTCCAGGTGAAAGTCACGTTTTAGTTTATTTTTATTAATGCTAATAATATCTAACATCTCTTTAGCACTTTTAGATTTGTGAAGGATTTTTACAAATATCATCTCATTTTATTCTCACAACTACCCTGAGAGATAAGTGCTCCTATGATCTCCAGTTAACAGTTGAAGAAACTGAGGCAGCCAGAGGTTAAATGACTTGTTCAGGGTCACACAGCTGGTTAGTATCTGAGGCTGGATTTGAACTCGGGTTTCCTGATTCCAGGCACAGAGGCACAGTCTAGCTACCTGAATCTTTGAGAAATTTCTTAGGGTTATCGTAGTTCCTAAAAGTGCACATTTCATCAAAGCTTTGTTAATGGATCTGCATGTCCAAGACTGGAATTTAGCCAAAGTGCCTGGAAATTCACTTTTTAACTTCTATTGAAAGTGTGATCAGAAAAAAAAAAGTGTGGTCAGGATCCTGGATCTTCAGCCCTTTCCATAATGAAAGGTAGCAATGCTTCTTCCTAACATCAAGTTGGGGGCAGGGAAGTGAATGCCACAACTGTCATTTCTGCCAATTAAATTCTCCCTTCGACTCTTATCCAGAATCTCAAGATCAAAGGCTGAGGCTTCTGGGCAGGCTTCTCCATAGCTTTGTAGCTGTGGTCTTGATTTCCTCTGATAAAATAAAGTGACTTTCAAGTCAAGTCCTAGACTAGCGTTTAGTAAGTGCCAGCCTATTAGGGCAAAAAAACCAGCCTTGCCCTCGAGAAGCTCATAGTCTAATGGGAGAGACAACATATAAACAAGCTGTAGACAGGATAAATCCTCCGTCTTCATGGATATTTCAGCATTGTCTCAGTGCTTCTGATTCAATTATTTTATAAAGATATAGATATATTTCATAATATATATATTTTATAAATATATATATATCTATATAACCATAATTATATATACATATGTACATGTACATACTCTTCATCTCTCAAAATTCTATTTCTTTATTCCATTTCTGTAGAACAGCAGCTTTTTTTTTTCAAAGAAAATGTAGCATAGTAATTTGCCATGTTCAAAATCTGTTTGAAAAAGAAAATAAAATCAGAGGTCAGGATCTCAGGGAAAAAAAGAAAATAAAATTATTTCACCCCTATGCTTTCATCACCATAGATTCAGGAATGCATAGAGATATTAAACTTTTCTATCATTGATGCAGAGAAGTTTGATGTAAGCTAAGGAGAGGGGAGCATTACATTTAAGCCAGTTCTGAGTATAAAAGTCACAGATTGACCTTTTAGACCAAACTCTCTCAGTTCTGTTGGATCTGGGAGAAAAATCATCGATCTTTTTGGAACTGCTGAGTAATGTTTGCCAATCAGCATAAACCCTTGTACCCAGATCACTGTGTGATAATAAGGGGTGTCAAGTCAGACATCCTCCTCCCCACCTGATCTCTGACCTTCTAAACTTCAGAACCAGGCCTTCTGCGCATTGACTCATCCTGGAATATTTCTCCTTGAGGTGCCCCCCACCATCTCCCATTGGTGAGTTCTTCCTGGAACCTCTGTTTTATGGAATGGCCCAAGTCGATCTATCTTCATCCTCCATCTTGCCTGCTACTAACTTTTTTGGATTTCAGAATTCGGCTCTCACACCTTCCTCCTCTCCCAGCCTTTTCAGTTCCCTTTTCTATGTTGCCTTCCCTTATTAGAACAGAAGCTCCCCGAGGGCAGGGACTTGCTTTCTTTTTCCTAGTACAGTTTATCCCTTGCACATCTCCACTTCCCACGTCTTGATTTCGCTACATCTCGGGTCAGCATGAAGAGATTAAATGGGAATTTGGGGGGAGTTTTGCAGAAGCCACAGATAATACTCAAGGACCAGTAGACAACACTGGAAATCAGAAATGTATAAAATATGTGCATAGTATTGTGTGATACCAACATATTTTATCTGTTAATATCATAATAATTCAGACTTCTCTGGTACGAAGGGAGGGGCAAAAATTTTACTCAGATTTTCCAGCTCGAAGAGGCATCGAGCTCCTAACCCTGTGATGTGGAAGGATAACTGCATTTGCATTCCCAGTACTTAGCACAGTGCCAGGCACATAGGAAGCATTTAGTAAATATTTATTTCTCTTCTTTCTTCCTACTCTACAGTATCAAGAGACTCTACCTCATATAGCCAACTCCAATGCTTTCAGTGAAAGCAAGATTCAATCATCTTTGAGTAGCCTTCCAAGAGAAGCAGCGGAAGGTCATGGATGCAGAGCTGTCTTCGAAGCAAGGGGACCTGAGCTCAAGTCTCGTCTCTGTCAAATCCTGGCTTGTGACCCTGGACAAGTCATTTACCTTCCCAGCGCTCGAGGAAACTCCCAAAGACTATACATTGCAAAGAGTATTGCCCACCCACCTTTGTGAAGAGATTTCCTCACCGAGGAGTTCTCAGGTCCAGTCCCTATCCCTATAAATCAGTACTTTGGGACTACCTCCTCTTTTTAGATGTAACCTGTAATCATCGAGGGAGCTGTTATACTTGGAATTCTCGGAGAACCTGGGCTGTTTTACCTCTGGGGGCTCAGAATCAACAGCTGAGCAAGTGGGGGGCAGCCAGCAGAGCTGATTGGCATGTGTACCCTTTCATCTTTTCTGTATATGCCATCCCTGGTTTGTATATAATCAATGAATCAAGAGTATCCCATTTAAGAATAAAGCGGTATTTCTAGCCTCTAAAATCTAGAACCAGTCCATTAGAACTATAAATCCATGAGAGTATCGTGAGAGTGCCCTTGTTTTCCCCTGTAGCACTGAGCACACACACACACACACACACACACACACACACCCCAGCCAGAGGGGTGGGGTTTTTTTCCTCTCAAGGTTTTTTGTGCTTGGCAGTTTGCTAAAGGAAGAAGTCAAATTAACTCTTTATTCATTGACAAACATATAATCTAACAGCAGACTCAGACAAATGTCCTCAGACACACATGGAGAATTAAAACCTTAAGCTAACTTTCCCTGGGTTTGCTTTTATCTCCCTGGTGTTCATCTTTTCTGTTCTCATGGAGGTGGGAGAGCCTTGCCTACTGCTTTTCTCCACCTCATTCACCCTCCCACACCCCATGAATCCTCCAGGCTAAGGCTGGTGTTCAATCTTCCACGATCACTGCAGGCATAAAGCAAGTAAAGGGGTTTTTCCCCAGCCACAGAGCCATCTTTTCCAAGGCTGGCGTTTTCTGGTATCGTAGCCCTTAACCTCTCACTCTTCTCCGGCCAGCTCCCCAATCCTTATCTTCTTTCACTTTTCCATACCATCCAATGGTGGTCACAGTGGGGAGAACACTGTTCTCCTCACCTGCTGCTTCCCCTAATCCTATGTGGTCCCTACTATTGCCAAATTACTCAGGAGTTCATTTCCAGCACCCCACTTCTGGACTCAATTTGTGGAATCAATCTAGAATCAATCCCTGCGCACTATAATTAGTTGTTGTTCAGTCATATCTGGCTCTTCATGACCCTACTTGGGGTTTTCTCGGCAAAGGTACTGGAGTGGTTTGTCATTTCCTTCTCCAGCTCATTTTACAGATGAGGAAACTGAGGCCAACAGGAGAAACGGCTTGTCCAGGGTCGTGTAGCAAGTGTCTGAGGCCAGATTTGAATTCATGATGATGAGTCTTTTTGATTCCAAGCCCAGCACTCCATGAACTATGGCACCACCTAGCTGCCTTACAACTAACAAGTGTCTAAGGCTGGATTTGAATTCGGGTTTTCCTCACTCCAGGCCCAGCTGTCTGTCCACTGTGCCACCTAACTGCCCCACTGGATAATGCACAAGTTGAAATTACAGGCAGCTTGGTAGCACAGTGGTTAGATCATTTAGCCTCAGGAGGACATGAATTCAAATCTAACCTTAGACACTTATTAGTTCTGTGACCTTGGGCAAGTCACTTAACTTCTCCCAGGCTCCGTTTTCACATCCATAAAAGGAGAGGACTGGACATAAAATGAGAGCTCTCTTCTGCTCTGAATCTACAGGCTCATGGCTTCAGATCTGTTAGCCATTTTCTTCTGTCCTTGCAATCTCAAGGTCGTTCTCTCTAGCATGAAGAACAAAGGGAGAAGAGAGAAAGGAGGCATGTACACAGAGATAATGATTAAGTCCATAAAAGCTGATGGGGACTCCATGGAAGCGTACAGAGAGAGGTAAGAGAAAGCAACCCAGGAACAGGAGCTAGGATATGAATGATAAATCACAACAGTAACTGAAAAGGAGCAAGCTGATTGGCAAGAGGTGAACCAGGAGACAGCAGTGTCTGGAAAACCCAGAGAGAAGCAAATGTTCAGGAGCAGAAAGTGATCAGCAGTGTCAAAGGCTGCAGAGAGGGCAAGGAGGAAGAGGACGGAGAAAAGGCCATTGGCTTTGGCAATGAGAAGGTCATTGGTAACTTTGGAGAGGACAGCTCCAGTTGAGCGAGGAGGTCCGAAGGGAGATTGCAGAAAGCTGAGACGTGAATGCCATGCACCTCTGGGCAAGAATGGGGAGATCTTCGCAAGTGGACAGGCAGGCAAGAGAGAAATTGGAGGGAGAAGAAAGACCATTCTTGTCACTGGGTGCTCAAGTGTAAGTTGGCATTTAGCCCTCTGGTTTGGCCAGCACCTTAGAGTAATAATAAGGCACAACGATAATGCCTTCCCTCCCTCTGTACAGTCCTACAACCATGACTCTCAGATCACACCTAACACAGCCTAGTGTTACCCCGGGAGGTTCCTCAATGATAACCCTATGTCTCATGCCTTGGAGTTTCCTCTGGAACCATCAGAATCAGCTGGAGTCTCTAAGATCCCTTAGATCAGGAAGGCAGGCACTCAGACTAACAAAATATTGAATATAAAAGACATTTTACTAGTCCTCCGCCCCCCCCACACACAAGAAATTGCACAGAACTCGCACCCAAACCCCTAAACAACCGAAACAATTCTCCTTCCCTCTGGTGGACCTGGGCTCCCCAGGATCCAGTATGGCTCTCCAAATTCCGAGTATCACCCCAGGTGGCAGCCCCTACAAGGACAAGAAATTCAGGGTTGACCAAGAGTCAGAATGTCAAGCAGGTCTCCTTTCCGGCAGGTCCACCTTGCTTAGGACCTCCTCAGGCCACGTCATTCACAGACCAGCAAGAGGGCAGGTCGAGAGGGCTCTTCCACGTCATCCTTCCTGCTGCATCAATCCTTCCTCCTTCCTTCTTTTTCTCCTTCCTCCTCTCCCGGGTGCTCGCCATCCCCAGGAGGTGTTGTTCAAATGCCAGGGCTCCTCTGCAGGAAGTTTGTGTTCCTGTGTGTTCCTCACTCCCTCACTTAGGCGGGTGAAGCACCTGCAGGCTTCCCTCCATGCCAGAAAAAAGAAATCAGTCATTCACCCAGTCTAACTCTAGTCCAGGGGTTCCTAACCTGGCACTGGTGGACTTTTAAAAAAATGATAATTGGATTTCAATGTAATTGGCTTCATTTGTAATCCTATGTGTTTTATTTTGTGCATTTGAAAACATCATTCTGAGAAAGGGTTCATAGGTTTCCCAGGCTTTCAAAAGGGTCCAAGACACCAAAAAGGTTGGGTCCCTGACTTAGTTCGTAATTCTCTATCTTCTCCATAAGAATAGCATGAAAGAAACTACATTTATCAAATGCTTTGTTAAAATCTGTGTGAGCTATAACTCCCCTCATCTCCACCTTGTGTGTGTGATGCAGTAACACTGGCCTTCTGGCAGTTCTGTGAACACCTCACTCCTTATCCTGACTAAGCATTTTCCTTAGCTGTGCCTCGTGCCTGGAGCCATCTGCCTCCTCCTCTACCTCCTCATTTTGCCTTCTCTTGAGTTTCCTTCAGGTCTCAGCTCAAATTCCACCTTCTAGGAGAAGTCTTTCCCGATTCCCTCTTTGTTACTTGCTGTCTTCCCTCTAGTTATTGTCTCCAATTTACCCTGTCCATAGCTGTTTGCCTGTTGTCAGTCCCACTAGACTATGAGCTCCTTGAGGGCAGGGAATGAATGTCTTTTGCCTTTTTTGTATCCTCTTGGCACACAGCAGGAGCTTAATAAATGCTAATTGATTGACTACAGCATTTCTCTGATTCTCAGCTAAGTAACTGTCAAAAATGGAAATTAGTTTGGCCTGGGATGCCCCATCCTTTTTTAATTCATATTTTATTACTATCTTTTGTAAGATGTACTGCATCCCCTTTATTTCTGAACCTATCCACCCTTCATCCCCGTCTAGCAAGTTACCTCCTATAAGAAGGAAAAAGAGAAAAAAAGCAGTTCAGCAAAAATAACCCACACATCAACTGTGTCTGGCAGTGGAGGCCCATGGTCCTTGTGAACCCTGAATCCCACGAACCCCACAGACCCCAATTTGTTATCTAAGAGACAAATGAAATTGGGGTACATGTGTCCATGGTTTAATTTCTCTCAAGCTGGCTTAACATGCATTGCATGGGAATTAAGTCCAAAACTGGGCCCCCCTAAGGGGGCCAGTTCAGAACTGGCTCAAAAGGGAATTTGGGGTACAACATCATATACCCTTTCAACAGGAGCTCATATCAACCCACTGTCATTCCAGACCATTCCCAGCCTCTGTCTATCTGGGCAGTAGTATCTGTCTCCACCCAAGCCTGAGTAGGATAAAATCAGTTAAGGTTCGTGTTGGGTTTGACCAGGATAAGAAGATTCCATGCAATCTCATTATCAGTGATGTCCTTCTGAAGAACTTTGAAGCAGAAAGCTGAGTGGAGCTCTGAATCTCCAAGACACAGATTACCAAGAGAAATCATTTTTTCACATCCCTTACCTTTGCAAAGAACAGGAAGACATGTATTTACTCTTCTTTGGGACCAACTTCCAGGTTCTTTTTCTTTCCATTTTCACAGTTGTTTCAGTATATTGTTTTCCTGGTTTTTTCTTCATTCCGCATCAGTTCATAGAAGTAATTCAGAGAGGATCCCTCCCCAAGTTCTTAATTCCTCACATTTGACATTGCTTATGGTACAGCAGTATTCCAATACATTTATGGGCCACCAGAAGTTGGGCCATTTCCCCAATCAATGTCACCCACTTTGCTTCTACCTCTTTGCCACCCTCAAAAATACTTCCCTCAATATTTGAATGTATATAGGGCTTTTTTCTCTCTTCAGCTTCCTTAGGGTATATACTAATAACTTTCCAGCTGCAGGGTAGCTGGTATATGCAGTGTGAACCAGGTGGGAGTGGACTGAAGGTGGGAAACAACCAAGCCCAGCAATGCTGAAACTAGGAGCTGCGGTCAGTTCTGTCAAATGGAATTCCAGCTCCGTGTTTTCTTTCAAATGCTTATAGAGCCCGGCAAGGTTTGCAGAACCTTTATGTACATTATCTCATCTGATCCTGACAACCACCTTGTGAGGCGGGTTTTCTTACTATTTCCATTTGTTGTATAGTTCACATTTAACATGGTAGCTGCAAAATTTCCTTGCTTGTCTGGGCTCTCTTCTAAATTTCCTTTTTTTTTTTAAGCGTTCTTTTCACTATCTCCTCACTCACCACCCTTCTCCCCTTCCCCCCCCAGTAAAAAACTCTTGCTTATAACAAATAAATATAGTCATGCAAAACACACCCACCCATTGACCACATCTGATCATGCACATCTTTCTTCCAGTCTAGCCTATCCCCCTCCTCTGCAGAGAGGTGGGAGGTGTGCATCCTCTGTGAATTTATAGAGTTGTCATTGGTCATTGATCTTGGATCATGAATCTTGTCTTTCATAGTTATTTGTCTTTACAATACTGCCATTACTATATAAATTGTTCCCCTGGTTTTGTTCATTTCACTCTGCATTGGTTCATATAATTCCTCCCAAATTTCTCTGACTCTATCCTTTTTGTTATTTCTAATGGTGTAAGAGTATTCCATGACATTCATATACCACACCTCATTCAACCAGTCCTCAATTGATAGACATCCCTGTAGTTTCCAATTGTTTGTTGCAACGAAAAGAATTGCTGTAAATATTGATATGCGTATGGGTCTTTTCCCTTTCTCTTTGATCTCTTTGGGCTAAATGTCCCTATTACCACTATCCTCCTAGTCACCAAGGCTAGGTGTCATCCTGGACTCCTTCCTCTCACCTCATATTCAATCTTTTTTGAAGGCCTGTTGATTTTAACTTCAGCATATCTCTTGAATGTGCTTTCTCTCCTCTGAAATTGCCACCACTCTAGCACAGACTCTTATCACCTCACACTTGGATAATTAAAATAGCCTTCTGGTTGGTCTATCTGCCACAAGTCTCTTTCCCACTCCATCCATCTTTTATTCAGCTGCTAAAGTGATTTTCCTAAAACTCTGACCTGGCTGTGTCATCCCCTACTCAATAAATACTAGGGGCTTCTTCCACTCTCCACTGGAAGGATAGTTTTAATTCCTCCAGGATTAAACATCAAACCCTCTCCTTGGTGTTCAAGGCTCTGAGCCCCTCTACACCTTTCCAGTCTTCTTGCATCTTATATCCCCCCTCCTCCCATCTGGGCTCTTCAATGCACTGACTTTGGTCTCCTTGTATTTCCTGAACAAGACATCATACCTGTTGGTCAAATGAGACTCACTCTTCTGACTCAGCGCATTTTTACTGACTGTCTCCCATGAGAGTTCTCCCTCCTCATCTTTCCCTCCTGGCCTTCCTGGCTTCCTCCAAGTCCCAACTAAAATCCCTACCTTCTACTAGACAGGATTTCCTTCCTTTTATAGGAAAGTAAGGATTTTAGTTGGGACTTGAAGCCATTACTAAGATATAAACCATTATTAAACCATTTAAGCTACATTAAGAATTAAGGGGGATTGGGAAAGCCATCATCTTTCCCAATTCTCCTTAATTCAAGTATCATCCCTCCTTTGATTATTTCAAATTTATCCTATATATAGCTTAATACATAATGGTTTACTATATGAGATTGCTTGCTGTTTTGGGGAGGGGAGAGGGGATGGAGGGAGGAAGAAAAATTTGGAACTCAAAATCTCATAAAAAATGAATGGGGAAAATTGTCTTTACATACAATTGGAAAAAATGACTATTTTTAAAAAAATAATGGTTTAGATATTGTCTCCCCAAATTAAACTGTGAGTTCCTTGAGAGCAGAGACTTTTTCCTTTCTTTGTATTCCCAGCACTGAGCCGAATGCCTGGCACATACTAGATGCTTAATACGTTTTTATTGACTTACTGTTGGCATTGCTGGATCAAAGGGTATTTCTTTAGTTCTTAATTGCTTTCCAGAATATTTGGACCACTTCATATCTCCAGGAGTGTATTGATGTGCCTATCCTCCCACAGCCTTTCCATCAATTCTCATTTTTCCTTTTTTGTCATCTTTCCTAATCTGATGGGTATGAAGCAGAACCTCAGAGCTGTTTTAATTTGCATTTCTCATTGTTTAGTGCATTTTCTCATATGGTTGTTCATAGCTTGGCTCTTTTCTTTTCAAAATTGCCTCTTCATATCCTTCGACCTCTGTTTCTTTCTCCCCTTGCTTTCTCGGAGCCCAATAGTGAAATGCCCATTACTTTTAAACCTGCCTAAACCCCTTCATAGATGGTACAGTGGATAGAGTACTGAACCTGGAGTGAGAAATACCCAAGTTCAAATCTGCCCTCAGACACTACTTACCTGTGCAACCCTGGGCAAATCACTTAACACTATTTATCTCAGTTTCCTAATCTATAAAATGGCTGGAAAAGGAAATGGCAAACCACTTCAGTATCTTTACCAAGAAAACCCCAAATGGGGTCATGAAGAGTCCAACATGACTTGAAAAGATTCAACAACTCAACAAAAACCCTTTTGTTTCCCCTCAGGCCAGCTGGGAAGAAAGAAGGGCCGTAAGGGAGGGAGTAGCAAATAAGCCCAGGCTACAGCTTGCTATTGGAAGTATTGTTTGATTGTGTTTATTTCAGCTGCTTCTAGCTCTATGATTGGGTTAATCATCACATAGTTATTAAGGGGAAAATCTTGAATCCTATGAATTTGGGGTTCAGAATTGTTGTGAGAGTTAAATGAGATAATGTGTAAAAGCAGTTGGCAAACCTTAAATCCATACATAAATGCTAGCTGTTGTGTATGTGTGGGGGGAGGTGTTGGGGTTCTAATTGACTTGGTGATCCCAGTGAATGGGAAATGAGAGTTCAAGCTAGCTAATATAAGAAAGGTTTCACATTTTTGTTAATTTGGGGGATGTTCTGATCATAATGCCTCAAATCTATTGAACTGGATTTGATCATGAAAAAGAAACAAAATTTGAATGAAAAAAAATCTATCGAACCTGGGATGTCAGCTCAATCAATCATCCCCTCACAACACCTAAGAAGGCTCGAGCCTTCTCAGGTATGGCAGCAGTAAGCTACTTTCAAAGAGCTAGAACGCCATCTGGTGGTTGGACAGTATCTTACAGCCATCTCCCTCAGCTGACTAAATGATATTCTGGGCTATCCAGAACTAACAAAAACACAAGTTCACAGAACAGTATCCAGAGAGCAGCCAGAGATACAACCCAGGACTTCAGGCGACTGTAGGTTGTTGTTCAGTCATTTCAGTCGTGTTAGACTGTTGGTGACCCCATTTGGGGTTTTCTTGGCAAAGATACTGTAGTGGTTTGCCATTTCCTTCTGCAGCTCATTTGACAGATGAGGAAACAGAGGCTGAAAAGTTAAATGACTTGTCACTCATCTACTAAATTCTTGAGGAGGGGAAAGCTCCCTTTCAGCTGCAGAGCCAATCAAGGAAGACCTGACGGAGGAAGCAGTTTGCAGAGACAGATCTAAGAGGAAGAGATCAATTCGTTTTGTACTGGGATGGGAGTGGGGGAGGGGTGGAAGTTGGGGCCAAAATGTGCCCTTTATCCTGCCCAGGATGTGTAAGCTTGGCGTCCACTCCTTCCACCCCACCCCCACATGGGGTTATAGTGTTACAGGGCAAAGTCCAGGAACCTGGCTTTGAGTAAGGGTGCTACTATGATGGGACTGAGATTCAACAATCGAGTTAGAACAGGAGGGGCCAAGACAGGGGTGGGGAACCTGCGGCCTCGAGGCCACTGGTGGCCCTCTAGGTCCTCAGGTGCAACCTTTTGACTGAGCCCAAGTTTTATAGAACAAATCCCTTTATTAAGGGGATTTGTTCTGTGGAGTTTGGATTCAGTCAAAGGGCCACACTCGAGGACCTAGAGGGCCACATGTGGCCTCCAGGCCGCAGGTTCCCCACCCATGGGCCAAGAGATCCCAAGAGGGGCTTTCATCCCTTTTCTATTTATTCTGGAGGTATGCGCACAGACATACCAAGAGACAGGCAGACGAGCGACGGACACCTGGGGGGCTTTCTCTTTAGAAGGAAAGCTCCCTGCGGGGGAGATCGCTTCCCTCTCGGCCTTGGCATCTATGGCAGGCCCTCACTGGCCTTGAATTCGTGCTGCTGGAGAAGTCGGGGAAGGGTGCAGCCGGTTAAGCAGCGGAAGCGGGCCTGAGGGGCCTGAGAGCCAGCCGCCAGACTTTGTACCCCGGCGAGGGCCGGATCGCTTCCGGATCCAAGGCCTGGGCGGCCCTTTGGGGAAGCCTTCCCTGTTGCGGACCTCGGTTTCCTTTTCTGGAAAACAAAGGGGTGTGTCCAGAGGTCCCGCCGACGCTCCCCTCCCTCCCTCCCGCGCTGGCCTGGGGCCGCCGCTGCGTAGCTGCCCGTAGGTGGAGCCCTCGGGCCGCTGCCCCTGCCCGCCCCCTGCCCTCCCATGTAGCGGCCGCCACCATGCTGAGGACGCTCCCCCGAGTGCTGCGACCCCTGGTCCCCCGGGGCCCCGGCTGGAGCCCGGCCCGCGCCTGGGCCTCCCGGGACGCGGCTCTGGGCGCGGAGATCCAGGTGGGCGCCCTGCGAGGGGACCGGGATGCAGGTGAGAGCGCCCGGCCCCGCGGCCACACTCCCCCCACGCCCGCGGGTAGGGGCAGGGACTGCCCGCCTGCCGGGGGAGGGCAACGTCGTGCTAGGAACTTAGGCTTCCGAGTCCGACGTGGAGCGTCCCCTAGATGGGCCTCAGTTTCCTGTTCTATGAAAGGACGAGCTTGGCTTAGCTAGCTAGCTACCTGATCGCTAACATTCCCTTCCCTTGTACATCTTTTCCTTTGGCCTGACCCTCCCCCTGAGACTTCCCCAGCGTCCTGGGGTCCTGGAAAGTGCTCGGAGCTCGGTCTGCCCTGCCTCTCGTCTTCGCTGTGTGACTTTGGGCAAACGACTTCCTCTCTCGGCGCCAGCCCCCTCCTCTCTCCAGTGAAAGGGCTGGACCAGATGGCGGATAAGGGCCCTTCCAGATCTCACGTTGCACGTTCTGTGTTCTAACAGTGTTTCCTTTCTGTAACATTGTGCTTTCGAACACCGCGTCCCAACGTTCTGTACCCCTCAGGCCACTCTGGCTCTGACAACGTGTTCTCACGTTCTGTGTGTGTCCCACGGACCTCCTCTCCCGTCTCCCCTGATTTGTACCATTCCCAGCTAGGACATGGCTTTCTGTGTTCTAATGTGGTCTTTCCTAAGGCCCTGGCCACACATTCCCTGTTCTAAGGCCCCTTCCCAGGTCTGACACTTCATGTTTCCAGATCCCTCCCAGCTCTGACATTCTCTGTTCTAAGGCCTCTCCCAGCTCTAACATTCCTTGTTCTAAGGCCCCTCCCAGCTCTAACAGCCCCTGTTCTAAGGCCCTTCCCAGCTCTGACATTCCCTGTTCTAAGGCCCTTCCCAGCTCTGACATTCCCATTCTCAGTTCCCTTCTGGCTCTAATATTCCCTGTTCTAAGGCTCTTCCCAGCTCTGACATTCCCTGTTCTAAGGCCCCTCTGAGCTCTGACATTCTCTGTTCTAAGGCCTCTCCCAGCTCTAACATTCCCTTGTTCTAAGGCCCTTCCCAGCTCTGACATTCCCTGTTCTAAGGCCCCTCTCAGCTCTAACAGATATCTGTTTTAAGGCCTCTCTCAGCTCTGACAGATGTCTGTTTTAAGGCCCCTTCTAAGTTGTCTCCTTCTAAGGACCTGTTCAAAAGCCCTTCCAAGGTCTGACACTTCATGTTTCCAGATCCCTTCCAGCTTTGACGTTCTCAATCTTAAGAACCCTTCTCAGTTCTTGCATTCCTTGTTTTACCCCTCCCAGCTCAGATATTTTGTGTCCTAAGGCCTTTCTCAGCCTCACTGACATTCCCTGTTGTTACAGGTTCTGGCCTGATGTGTTTCCTCCAGCTCCTACCTCCTTATTCTAAACATTGTCTAAGAAAGTGTCCTCTCTGGACTCCAGTCCCCTCCCTCAGTGCCATCCCAAATGGCCTGGATACCCCTGGCATCCCAGTCCCAAGTCCCCTCTTTGGGCAGTGACTAGGCCTGAAGAATATCAATCACAAGTTTGCACAGCCCTGGGGGAAGAGTGGTGGGCAGGGGCAGCCCTCACAGAGGGCTGGAGGGCCAAGGAGAACTGGCATGTGCCAGGGCTTCAGAGGCCCAGCCTCCCAACCCTGCTTGCCACTGATTGGCCCAAGCAGCTGCCTTGGGCTTTACCTTGCCCTCAGGGACTGAGCCCCCATATTCCTATTCTGGGGGAAGGACAGTCCCCACTTCCCAAAGCAGCCAGTGTGGAGGCTGACTATACTGGTGGTATGTGTTAGACTTTGTATCTCCCCCGCTGCTGGGCCCCATGCCCTCCCACCCAGAGGCCAAGGGTTAGGCTGTGGTAAAATAGGTACTGAATTACTCCAGATATTGTAATAAAATCAGAATGTCTGCATACCTACCTGGGGGAGAGGTTGAAAGAAATAGGGAGCCTGAGTTGGTGAAACCTTGTATAAAAGTCAGCTATTGTTTTCCTCCCAGTGGGTTTATTTATCAGTGGGTGTCTTAGCTTCCTCTGAGCCTGGGAGAGGCCTGAGGGTAGGCACTGGGTCGTCCCAAACTGCCTTCCCCCACCTTCTCACCACAGTGCCAGGTACTCAGTGAACCCAAGCTCCTGGAGTGAATGAATGCACAACACAGGAAGGGGAGCTGGGGGGAAGTAAGGTAAGCGGTGAAGGGAGTGGACGGCATGAGTTTGAGGCCCAGAAGGTCCCCAGGAGGGGAATGAAGACCAGCCACCAGAACTCTTTGGAGGCTGCAAGAGGGCCTCACCAATGGTGGGGAGGAGGGGAGGCAAGGCCTTGCAGGAGGGAGAGAGATATTCCCTGGTGATCTGGTATGACCCAGGGACGGGACACCCACACCAGGTGCTGATGATGGAAGAAACCAGGAAGAGCAAGCAGTAGAGAAGACCTGGCTTCAAAGTCCAAGAATGTAGGCAAAATGTTGTTCAAGTCATTCAGCCGTGTCTGAATCTGTGACGCCATGACCTTAGCATGCCAGGCCCTTCTGACCTCCATTCTCTTCCTAAGTCTGTCCAAGGTCATGTTCTATGACACTATCTATCCATCTCATCCTCTGCTCTCCTTATTCTTTTTGAAAAAATTTCTTCTGGACTCTGCTGCAGTTACCTTTCTACCAGAGACCTTTCCTAATTCCCCCCCTACCCCAGCCTCTTCCTTTAAAAAAAAAAAAAGACTTGCTGCTAAGTGGCAAGTGGGTGACATCTGGCATCAGGAAGACCTGTATCTGGCCCTGTGCTGTTTAACTTTTAAATCAGTAATAGCCTGTGTGTGTGTGTCTGTGTGTGTGTATGTGTGTGTGTGTGTGTGTGTATCACTTTAAGATCAGCAGAGTGCTTTACGTATGTTAACTCATCTGATCTTCACAACAACCCTGTGAGGTAGAAATTATTATAATCCCCATCTTACAGATGGAGAAACTGAGGTACAGAGCAATTAACTGCCTCCAGGGTCACATAGCTAGTAAGCATTTGAGATCCAGATTCAAATTCAGGTCTTCCTTATTCTTAAGCCCAGAACATTCTCCTCTGCATTACCCCCTGCCTCTTGAAAGTTGACTGAGCACCTTTGTGCCTCTGAACCCTGTTAGGGAGAGACTGATTCTGGCTGGCCATAAAGAGAGGCAGAGAATTGGGCTTAAGAGTCTCTAAGCACGGGGTTGGGACAGCTGGGTGGCACCACAGAACAAACACCAGGCCTGGAGTCAACAAGACTGATTTTCCCAAGTTCAAATTTGGCCTCAGACACTTACAAGCTGTGTGACCCTGGGCAAGTCACTTAACCCTGATTGCCTCACCAGACAAAGGAAGAAAAAGAAGACTGGTGAGAGGAGGGGCAAGTTAAGAAGGTTAGGAGAACCCAAAATTTTCTATTTGATCCTGGAGGTGATAGGGGGCCATTGGAGTTTATAAACTAGGGCAGGGTGGGGAATCTTCAGCCTCGAGGCCACCTATGGTCCTCTAGGTCCTCAAGTGCAGCACACTATATGTGGCCTTGAGGCCACAGGTTCCCCACTCCTGGACTAGGGGGTGACATGGTCAGACTCAGGCTTTAGGGAGATCACTTTGACTGGTGAGTGGAGAATGACCTGGGGTGGGGAAAGACTGAATTATCCAGTCTCTGGGCTATTGCCACACCCTTTAGAGAACTACAGATTTAGGCTAGCAACCTTTCCTGATTCCTCCAGAAAACTTTCCCTAAGGTTCCCCAATCCCATCCAGAGGGAAACCTGTTTGTGCCTTTCCCCACCTGGTGTTTTCTCCTTCCCTTATTATAGTGCCAAATTTCTTTCCTCTGCCCCTGAACTCCCTGAGGGCTGAGACCTCCCTGGGAGTGGAGGGGAGGGTGTAGAGGATGATGAGGGGGAGGGAGAAGGCCATTGGTGAAGATTGCTCTAGAGAGGTTTGTTGGATGGAAACTGGAGAACAGCACCAGGGGCGCCCAATCTCCAGCTGATTGCCTAGGCCTAGGGCTAAGTGTGTGTGTGGCCATGCCAGTGGATTTTGACTCAGAAGACCAGAGTTCAAAGCCAGGCAGTGACACACACATAGTAGTGTGTCCTCGGGAAGGTCCCTTCACCCGACCTCCTGGCGAGCAGGGACAAGTTTTTAATCTCTTGTATCCCCAGGGTTTAAGGGATCACTGCATGCTTCTTGCTTGATTGAGTGAACCTAGAGTTTTCCTTCTTCTAGAATGGCAGGCATTTGGAATACATGGATGATCTCCAGGGTCCGTGAGCCTTGGAGTTTATAGACTAGAGGATGACATGGTCAGGCCGGACTTTAGTAAGATCACTTTTACCAGTGAGGGAGGATTGATAGGGTGGGGAGAGACAGAATAATCCAGCCTCTGGGCTATAACCGTGCTGAGTTTTCAGAGAACTCTCAGCCTTTGAGCTCTCACGCTCCAAATTCTGGTATTGGCTAATACAACTATAGCTTAAACTCAGAGACTTCTGAAGGTGGAAAGGTTACCTTTATTACAATCTGGAGAGATGGCTGTCTGCTCCTCCCATACACGTGGGGAGAGAGGGGGAGGAGGGGGAAGAGAGGGGGAGGAGGGGGGAGAGAGGGGGAGGGGGGGGAGAGACAGAGAGAGACAGAGACAGAGACAGAGAGACAGAGACACCGCCTAACAGGAGCTGCCTTATAAAAGCAAATCTCCACCCACCATGAGAACAAGTCTCTACCCACCACTATCCCTTACCCCCTTAACTGCGGGTAGGCTTACATTCTAACTTGAAGGTGGGGCTTACATTCTAAGCTTGAAAGTTTCTTCCTATCCCTTTAACCGGGAGGGGGGGCTTACATTCCAGGTGCAAAATTCAAAGCCAAGGACAAACGGCTCAGGTTGGGGGTGGGGCAGGCCTTATTCTTTCTGTTAAGTGCTTAAAAACAGGGTCTGAGTGGGGGAGGATTTTGAAAGTAGTAATCAAGAATTATTTGACCCTTTGAGGAAGCTTCACTTCTGAGAATTCATTTCTCACACTACCTTCTGAACTCATT